AATGCAGACACCCCCCCGAGGGTAAAACATCCATGTTTTTGTATATCTGAAAATTCAAAAGAAGCTTGGGTGGAGGTCTTAGTTGCTCATGCTGAGTGGCTAGTTAGCTCTGATGCGCAAAGTTTAAAAGGATCTGAGGATGCCCAGTCTGATTGGAAGTATAAGTAACAAGATCAGAGCTGTTAAATGAAAGCACACCAGGAAGAATAGGCAGAGGGTTCTGCAGAAGTGACATTGTGTAACTATTTCCTTTACCTGATTGACAGTGGCTCCAACAGAACCCTGCAGCACCATCTGCAGCATTTTAGCATCTGGTGGCTCCTGGTTGGTTGCAACAGCTAGTTCCAGTGTTTTCTTCTGCATGTCTTCAATAGCAACTTCAATTGGGGTTAAAATAAACTAATAAAATATAAAGACAAATGCATTATTCTCTGAGTAATGTATAGAGTACAGCTGTTGCAGCAATGGCAGCTGGAAGCAGTGGTTTGGGTGCTGTCAGAACCAGGAGGGATTACACCCTGAAATATCAGTCAGTCCAACCAAATTTGATCTCCAATTCTGAGCCCAGTGCAGTACTCAGTGGGCTTTGAGTAAGGCCCATATCTGCCTCTCTAGTGTCTTCACAGCTGAAATTGTCATAGTAATTCCTATTTTTTTATATACATGCTTTCTTGCTGAATAGTTCCCTCATTCCAATTCTAAATCAGGTTTAGTAAAATGACTGCTCTTTAGCAGTGGGGAGGTATACCTGTACAAAAGGAGGATTCTTTTCTGCTACTTGTAATACCTCTTGTAGATACCATCACAATTGTAAGCATGTAGGCAGGTTACATACTTTACCAACAACCAGCCAAAGAGGTACATTCTCTCCATCTACAGAATTTCTATAGATGAAGACCTCCTAACACATAGCACGGAATCTGAAAGCTTTGCCAGTGCCAGTGCTTTCAAAACCTGCCAGTCAGGGATACTGGGTCAAACTCACACTCCTTCTTCAAGATGTCCATTACCTCTTCCTTTTGAATGACATTGATCCTCGTTTTAATGTAGGGGAAAGCATGCATTGTGGTCAGGATGGTATTCCTCTTGAACTGCTCGCTCAGGTCACCGCGGGGGCGGCCATCTGGGGTGAAAGGTGTGGTGTACATGAACCGCCGGAGGTTGAAGTTCTTCTCAAAGTAGGTTATCCTGTCTTTCATCTCATACTCATCAAAATAGGGCTCCACAAATGTGATTTGTACGTAGGCCTGGGAGGAGGAAGAAGAATCATTGTTTTAATGCAAGGCAAATGGCTGTGAAATGCATGGAAAGTATGAATCACAGAGCTCAGACCAAGTTAAAAGAGTAAGAAGGCAATGTTGTTGTTTTGCTCTCACATGTAGTTGGGCCGCTCTGACCCCACCACAGCTGCAAAGACTTAACATTTATAAGAACCTTCTCACCCAGAAGCTTCACCTTCTACCTCTCCTTTTCCAACGCTGCATCAGTCCTGCTCCCTTACAGTATTCTGTCACTATCACACACTGCAGGCCCTGTTCCAGATGACTACAATGGTCCTCATCTAACTAGTCCTAAATTGTTAGTGGTCTGGCTGTCCCAGAGACTACCACTTGTTCTCTATCCTCAATACTCTGATGCCCAGTTCACCACAGTATCTGGGATCATCACAAGCTTTAATGTATTTGTCTACAGAATACCTCTGCAGTGTAGGGAAGCGTGACTATCTCCATTTTACAGGCAGGGATTTAAGGCACAGAGATGGTAACTGACTTTGCCCAAGGTCATACAGGAAGTCTGTTACAGATCAGGGGCATGAACCCAGAGCTCCCAAGTCCCAGCCTAGTGCTGCAGTGATAGGACCTGCTGTAATGGACTTTGAAATCATCACAGCAGGTAAACAAATCCTATCCATCTCACTGCTTTTTAAAGGTGTCTAATTAGTCCCTTCTGCTTCCCCACCCACAGTTAGCTTTTACATGATACCTTCCATCCTAGATCTCAAAGGGCTAATGCTTTTACTTATGGGGAGCAGAGCTGGCAGACCAGTGGCAAATCAAGGAAGAGATGAGGGCTTTTGATTCTCAGTCCTTTGCCTCAGGCTCTGAACCAGTACTACCTTCCTAGTATGTTCAGCATAAGATAGCCTGGAACAGTAAAGCATATGATACAGTGCCAGCAGTACCAATAGGAACTAGTACAACACCACTGAGGTAGTAGGGAACTCGCTGAGGGAGTGATGGAAAAAAGTTACCGTTGAAAGAGGAAGCAGCAGGCTATAGGAAAATTACTGATGGAGTTCCTCAAGGATGGCCATATGATACTTTCATTAAGGACTTTGACACAAAGGCTAGGAATGTGCCAAAATTGGCTGATGGCACAAAGCTAGGAGGCATCATCAACACCAGAAGAATTGGATTATCAGACTGAGGAAACTGAATGGTCTTGTGAACTAGAGTAATAAAGTTGGAATGAAATTCAATAGTTCAAAACACAAGGTCATGGATCCGGGGGACTGACAGCAAAAACTTTTGCTATAACTTGAGAGCTCATCATTTGTAAAGGACAGAGAAACAGAAAGGCCTGGACAATGGGCAGATCCAGGCTTTAGTAAAGGGCAAGGAGCAGGCACACCAAGGGATGACTCGCACCTCACCATCCATTGCTGTTGCCCCAGCTGACCTGGGGGCAAGGCAGGCAGAGCTGCTCCTTCCCCACTTATTCCCAGTGAACTCCACACTCTGGTGTCTCCCCACTGGCTGGGAAGGAGGAATCTGCATACTGCTGTCCCCAGCTAAGCCTAGCACTCCTTATAGCTGCAGCCTGTGGCTGGAGCAGGGCAGGAGTGGCTCTGGGGCTCCCTCTGTGCCCCTATTAGCACAGTAGCAGCAGTGAAAGGTGAGGTGGGGAGCAACTGCATTGTCACATCCTCTCTGGATCTACCCCTGGCCTGGACATCCTAGTTCAGGGGTGGGCAAAATACAGCCCGTGGGCCACATATGGCCCACCAGGCACTGTCATCTGGCCTGTGGGTGCCCACCAATGAACTATACCCTGCCCTGCCCTTCCACCCACAATGGTAGGAGTGAGGTGCTCACATATACACCCTCCTCCCCAACATACCCTATGGCACATTGCTCCCACCCTCATGGGCAGAAGGGCCCAGCCCAGCCAGCAGCAGCTTCTGGGCAGCACTGCTGCTGCTGCAGCCACTGGGGGGACCTGCTCGGCTTCCCCAGTGTCCTGCTCACTTTGGGCAGCAAGTAGGGAAGTGGCAGGGGTCGGGGCGAGCTGCAGCTGGGCTGGGGTGAGCTGCAGCTGGGCTGGGGCAGGGCATATGGGGGGCTGCGCCTGGCAGCAGTGCAGACCCTGCTCCCAGGGGGGGTCAGTGGGAGTGTGGAGCTCAGTTGGGCAGGTTGTGGGTGTGAGGGAGGGTGGGGAGAGGGTGGGGACTGCCCCCCCCCCCAGTATGGTGTGCAGCCCCTGCTACCACCAGCAGCAGCAGCTAGCAGGAGCACTCAGGGTGCTGGTGCCTGGCACAGGTGCTGGTGCTAGCACTACACATGGGGGTGGAGAAACGCAGCCTGCCTGGCCCACCTCTAGTGCAGGGGCTCTGCACAGCATGCCTGAAGCTCCCGCATTCAGCTGCCACCAAGGGAAGCCCCATGCTAAAGCCAGCTGCCTTCTTCCTCCCTGCTGTGCAGCTCCTGGGACCCCGCCAGAACTGGAGGGGAGCCCTGCCTTCTTCTTTCCTGCAGAGTCCCATGACTTCTGTGGCACGGGGTGGGGAATGAAGCTGGGTCCAGCATAGGGCTTTCCCTGGTGGTGCATGAGTGCGGGAGTTGCAGGTGTGCCATGTAGAGCCCCCACGATAGAGGTGGGCTGGGCAGGCTACACTCCTTGCACTCATGTGCAGCACTGGCTGGAGCCGCATGCCACTGGGCGCCAGCACCTGCACCAGGCACAAGCTCCCTGAGTGCTCCTGCCACCTTCTGCTGCTGGTAGTGGGGGAGTACGTGGTAGGGTCCCCACACCCCCAACCTTCTCTCACACCCCACAAACCTCACATACCCACACCCTGTCCCCCACAACCCCACACACATACACACATCCCAACACACTATGCCCCCCCACACAGCCACACCCACTTACAACCCCCCCTCAGTCCACCACACCCCCCATGCCCCACCATACACACCCCACACCCAATATAAAAAAGAGTAAGACTTTATTTTTGAGTTACTATGCAATCACCTCTACCTATAGTATGCAAACAAATCATGACAAATATTTTTTCTAATACAATTAAATAAGTTATGGTAGGTGTTTGACTTTTAGTGTATGATTTGTTTTTTTTCTGGCTCCAAGATGGCAACCCCTCCTCCCAAAAGGAGTATTTTCAGGGGGCAAGGGGAGGGACTTCCGTTGGCAAAGGTCAGGGGTTGAAGCAGGACTTCCGGTCCCAAAATGGCAACTGGGGGGCTGGGCAACTGTCCAGGGGTGGGGCTACCATGTGGCCCTGGAAAGCTCACCAAAACTTAAGTGGCCCTCTACCCAAAATAATTGCCCACCCCTATCCTAGCTATTCATGGGAGTATGAAGCACAAGCATGGTGAAGCCATGAAAGAGAAGCACATGCAATTTCAGGAGGTATAAGGAAGTATTGCCAGTAGAAATGGAAGAATTAATGCTACCGTAATGCTTCGGTGAGACACTATCTGGAATAGGGTTTTGCTTACTTATGTTCAAGAAAGATGAACTAAAATTGAAACAAGTGCAGAGGAGGTCTACGAGGATATGGGGAACGGACAGCCTATCATACGAAAGGAAAATATAAGAGCTTGACTTGTTTAACAAATCAAAGGCTGCAAGAGGATATGAGTGTTGTCCATAAATACCTAGTGATAGCAGGTGCGTAAATACAAAGGAGGAAAAATATTTAGGTTAAAGGACAACGTTGGCTTAAGAACAAAGGGGTATAAATTGGCCAAGAATAAACAAACTGAAAATTAAAAGGTTTCTACTACCAGGGAGTGAGGTCGTAGAAGAGCTTCCCACAGAATAGTAGTGGCTTAATCCCAACTACTTTTTAGATAGAGCTTATTCAGTTTATGAAAGAGTTTATATGATGGTAGAGGACTATTCTCCAAGACTAGGAAGTCCGATCCTATCTTGTGTTCTTAAGTACAGGTCTGTGTATCTCACTTTTTCTCATTTATTCGCATGGCCTAATGTAAAATTCTCACACAAAGGTCTCCACTGACTCCTTTTCTTCAGTTGCTCTGTTCAGTTATCCTGATACAGCTGTGGTTAATATATTCCATACCTTATTGGGATCCAGCTTCCTTTTGTCTACAGGAGCGGAGTCTTTAATCACTTCCACTGCATCCTCCCCAAAGCACTGACCATAAAATCCCTGAAAAGGAAACAGAACTATTCAGGGGTGTGTTTACTTTTTTTTAAATGCAATGCAAATCAGCTCTGCTTCTCGGAAAAAAAGATACATTGCGCTAAAGATTAAGACTGGCAGAGCCTAATACATCTTATAGATGCCTCCCCATGTGAATGACTAAGAAAAAGGCAGAGCTCCAGCTAAGAGCAAAAAGAAGAATTTGTTATTGTTGCCTCAAGCAGAAGTTCAAAGAAGTTCAACCCACCATTTAGGTACACTCAGACACTTGAATTATTGAATACCTTATACATACAGAGACTCTACCCAATGTAAGTGACACGGCGTCAGGGTAATGAAAACTGACATCATCTCATCCTCCTGTAAAAGGGAGCTGTGTTCCAAACTAATAGTTATAAAGAGAGAATAATCTCTGACATAAATCAATTTATAATAGACTTCTACATATTAGTACTTCCTATAGCTGCTGTGCTGTGGCTTTTTTATTCATTGCAAAGTTTTCTTAGCATGACACAAAGCAGGGAATTTTATGAAATAGGATCTTTTTTACCTCCAGTCTGTGAGAAATCTCAGGAAGTTTGGTAATTGCAGGCTCCTTATAAACAAATTCCAGTTCATCCAAGTCCCCAAATTTGGATCCATAGAAACCAACGCGGAAGTAAGTTCCAAACATTCGCTTTTGGCCCTGATTGATAAAGATAAAAAGAAAGAAATTAAAGTGAGTTTTTCTTCTCATAAATATAATCCCATTTTGATGTCTTATTTAACTCTAATTTAGATTTGAGAAACGGCACTGACTTCCTGCTCACCCAGATTTCAGAGCAGAATTTGGTCTTATATATCATCATAGTATTTGAAATAGCCTAAGATGGTCTCTTATTAGAACTGTGAATTTATGAAGATATATATTTAAAAGACACTATGTCTATGTCCAGATGAGTGCAGCCATGCAGTCTGTGGTGCTGCAGACATCTGAGGTGCCACATACTGCACATTCAGCTGTTCTTTGCACTGCATGGGAGCAGCCCAGGGTTTTTTGTGATCCCTGGATATCCAGTGGTCAAAAAACCTGTGCAAAAAAAAAAAAAAAGGCAAAGCGGCATATGTGTGGACAACATCCATTGTTCAGCACCAGAGCCTGGCTGGCTGGAGCTGTAGTGCAGCTGCCAGCCAAGCTCACAGTGTCAGGATCACCACTGCTACAGACCAAGGAGGTCCCCAGGACCCCAGGTAAGGCTGCTGGGGCCAGCCCAGTGCTGGTCCCAGCCACCCCCTAGCCACACGCCAGAGTGCACGTGGATGCAAGTGTTCCCCAGGGACAACTAGCAGTAGCACAAGGTGCGCTGCTGCTAGCTGACTGCGGGGAATCAAATGTCCTCGCTTGTCTGGGCCTGGCCTATTAGGTCAAATTTGGATCAATTCCTATAATTCTTCCATAAAAATAAAACCAAACCCTGAGATGGTAGTAATATGGAGGAGCAGGGAAGTGGGGTGATTTGTTTTAAACATATGTGACTGAATGGAAAGCTGCATACAATCATTTGGCCTAAATTTGATTTGCGATTTTTATTTAACCTAACTGTCTCTAGTTCAACAGTTTTTAAAAAACTTTCTTTCTATACAGGTGATATAGAATTCCCTCCCATGTCTCCATATTTTTTCTGGTTTATTATGTGTCTTTTAATTGTAGAACACATCGCATGTAATCAGAAACAGATGGAGGTTTGGATTAGAAGAAGGAAACAGACCTATTTGCTATGTCTGGCTTTATTGCTCATAAACAAATACTGCAGCCAAGCAACATGACTTGCTGGACGAGAAGCAGCACCCACAGGTACCTTGTTTATAATACTGTCAAAGGCTCTCTGCAGCTTGCTGTGAGTAGAGGTGAGCTTCCTGAAGTCTCGATGCGCTTCCAAGATGGGGATGACAATTTTGTAGACCTCATTCACGGTTTCATACAATCCCCCCTTGTTGAGAGGGAATAAAGAAAGAAATGTGAGTTCTCATCACCATGAGAGATTGAATCTTCAACTCCAGGTATTGTAGGACAGGATTTTTTTTATAAGCTCATTTCTATCTGATCCGATGCCTGTTTTAAGTTTCTCAAAAATAATAAAGGTCATTAGGAGCTTATAGCATCTGAATCTAGGGGCAATTGGAGCTAAAACTCATAACATAATTTAGCACTGAGCCTTAATACTCTTACTGCTGCATAATGGCTGACTTGCATGGATTTTTGACTGTGTGACTCCTCTTAAAATAAACTGTGACGCTGAAGTTCAGATGTCCCCTATTCATAACCTATGAGCAATACCTACATGGTTTCTAGGGCCAACAGTTTATGCACAAATCCAAAGGTCTTTCTCAAGTTTACATCAAGACAGTGCTCAGACAGCTTGGTTCACTCCTGCTGCACATGAAATTACAAGCCCATACCAGTGGGGAGTGTGCTTGTAGTGGGGAAGCAGCAACACCAGCTGCCTGCAACCTACCTTCTAAAAGTGGGCACAGATACAACTAGAGCTAGCATAAGAAGGGGACACAGCAAACCTTGGACAAGCAGAGCCAGGTCAACAGCCCACCCTGGGAAGGGTCCTATGGAGCCCTGGCTGAGCATTGGCTCTCTTTTCCTTGCTGTGCATCTATCCCACCCTCTGGAGCCTCTCACAAGAATGTGAGGTAGGAGTGAGTCTAGCTCAATAGTCAAAATCTTCCCTGGTATAACTTCTTGCTCTTCAATGCAGTTCTAAAAGTGTTTCTTTGGCCCGACCTCCCCATTCACTCACCGTGCTAAAGAGCTCTGCAGCTTGTTCCAATAGTCCCACTAAGCCACTCTCTGAGAAATACCTCCCAGAGCATATCCCATCTTCATCGGGGGACAAAATATCATCTGAAATGGCAGACTCCTCCAGCACATTGGAGGAAATATTCTGAAATAAATGAGAGCAGAAAGCCACCGGGCTATCACGAAGGTTCAGTCAGGGACCGATTCAGCATGTTAAGCACAACAAAGATAACACTGGAGTGCAGCTAGAGGATTCAAGAAGCTTTCATAATATAAATCACAGCCAGTGGAGACGATCACAAAACTGAGTGAATCAGCTATTAGGTAAAAGCGCCAAAAAGCCGTGCTGAAGCACCCACTCTCTCTAGACACTATAGAGCTGGGTCAAACTAATGTGCCACTTCTTCTGGTAAAATGTGTGCTTTTTTCATGTCTGTTGGCAACCTATATGTAAGTGCCCACGCAAAAATCCATCTGAAGACACTCCAGTAATTTTCAATAGCAAGTTTTAAAATCTGTCAATAAAAATTACCTAACTTGGGGTCTCATTGTTATCGTGAAGTAGCAAGTAAAATCCATCTCAGCTGCAGATAAATGCCAGCAGGCTGACAATTTGATTTCTGAAAGATGTTATTTCTAAAATGGTGGAGACATTGAGTACCACTACTAACTTTGAAAAAAGAGCCATCATCTCACATCAGAAGCTGTGTGGAATTTCTATATTCTGGGATACATTTTACATTCTACAGCTTTCTGGAGGCAATTTTATCACTTAGTGGGTTAAATTCATTCAGTGTTACGTACCAGGACTAGGCCTAGTTATCACTTCAGCTTCACCTAAAAGTTAAAGGGGAGGAACAGAATAGCTTATATGGGATTTGGGAATAGGTCTATAGTACAGTCAGTGTAACTGCTGTACACATAGACATATCCTTGCTAGCTAGCTATTTAGCTAGTTTGGGTACCAATATCAGAGAAGAGATAAACGTCAGTGTGGTCTAGCCTATAGACTGTGCTGAATTCCATTCTGTACTTCACATTTATTTATATGAAATATTGTAGCTTTTAGAAGCTATAACCAGGGTTCACAACTGGATTCACAGCCTCAGAGAACAGCAGAAAGATAATCTTTGCTCCAAAGAGGTTACAATTTAGCTAACAGCTGCACTGTGGTTTTCATCCCAGGAACCTAAGCATTTCCACACGATGGTTAGAACTGGGAGTTTTGCTGCCTTTTATGAGCTCTTTTTGTGACAAAGGTAAGAGAATTCTGAGCAGTGATTTATCTGGAACAGGAAGCCAAGGAAATTGCAGCCACCAATTTATCTGTTCTTTGGCTCTAAATTTTCAATAACTTTCCAGAAAGAAAAACAAACAAACCCCTTCCTGGTTTCAACTGTCTAAGAACTGCAGCATCCGAGTCCTATCTTTACTATATATTTCTCAGGTTTGTGTTGTCTTTTGCTAAATCCCTGTAGGACGCATCCCATTTACCTAGGTCTATAGCTTTTGCTTTGGTCTGAAAGAATTTTGTGCATCTTCCCCACCTGCTGTATCTAGGAATTTCAGATTTTTCCAAATATATTATCATGGAGGCAGAAGTTTGGGTAACTGTATCCAGTTCCATAGCTGGAATATAAACTACAGAATCCCAGACTTCCTGAGATCACAGGACCCTAATAATTATTTAGGCTGAGAATAAAACTGGTAATTTTGTAGAGGATCTGAGTTAAATCATATAACCTCTCATTAGTATAATCTCCCATCTTTAAAATGAGGATAATGGAATCACTTTCGTACATAAATATTTATATGCCGTTACCTTTTTATAGACCCTTCCATCCAACAGTTCAAAGCACAAATAAACATTCATTAAATAAAGCCCTGGAGCAGAGAAGTATTATCTGATCAATTTTACAATTGAAAAGGAGAAAAGGAGATGTCCTCTGAGAAGTTCAGGGACTGACTTGCTCAGGGTCACACAAAACCCAGACAGACAGACCAGTTTAGTTTCTTACTCACAAGATTATCTCAACCTTACGTCAGTGGTGTTGCAAATCTTGAGTAACATTTGTAAAACACTTGAGCCTTGTATGAAAGGTTTTGTAAAAGCACAAAGTATTACTGTAGTTAATCATTATTACTGAACAAGCTGAAGTCCCGGTTATATTCTCAGGTAAACAGCTATGTAATAGAGAGGGGTTTTTTTATGAGGGTGGAGAAGGGAAAGATGCTAAAGTTTGTCATAATCTTTCTTCTACAGAGCAATGTGTATACATGCAAATCTTTTGACAAGACAGGCAGATTCAATTGGGATGCTTGTCGACATTATTTAGATTTGATAAGCCTAATTAATTCTACCCCAGTAAATGAGACATGATTTCATACCAAATGACTGCACCCACACAGGCATCCATACCAAGATAAGGGATCAACTTTCCTAGACAATGGTAGAAATCCTAGACTGGACTGTCTTCTTTTAGCGCACAGAAGAGGTAGGCAGATTATTCAAAAAAATGAAATCAAGTTATATGTTAGGGAGAGCAAACATCAATAGGAGAAGAGTTCTTTACGTTTGGATTATTTTCTATACGCTTCAGTCAATTCATAAACATGAGCTGCAAGTGGGCAAGGTGATTTGCCTGCCATGTTTTGTTGCTGCTATAATAATTCAGCTAAAAGGTTTATATATAAGAGAGATAATATATCTCAGATTGGAACTATTCATTCAGCAATATTATTAACTTTTATTCTGAAGCATCCCAAATTTAATTTAAAAATTAGATATATATTGGAAGTAAACATACTTCCTTCTAGCCTAGAACACAGCATTTAGTTGCTAACTGGGTGTATCTACATGAGACACTTTATGGTGTAGCAAACTAATCTGCTGCACAGAAAAGCATCACCATTTACACATGCATACAATTAGGGTGCAATAGACTAATTTACTGTGCTACCAGATAGTCCCACCAAAGACAAGTGGCATCCGGCACTGCAGTAAATTACTGCGCTTAAACACATAGGTAGATGGAGATGTCAGGATTAGTTTACTCTGGCTCAAACTGAGCTGGAGTATATTCAGTTGCATTAACTGCATGTGTATAGATGTACCCACAAACTACAGCAAGCAGTGCAGGAAGTGAAGCTATATGGCCTAAATCATTACCTCCAAATAATCTAGGTTAATTGGTTTGGACTAGTGCCATGTAGCTGAACCTTCAGTTGCCCAAAGTAACTAGAATAATACCAATACATAAGAACTACATAAAACATTCATAGTTTCATAGTTGGTAGGGTCGGAAGGGACCTGAGCAGATCATCAAGTCCGACCCCCTGCCATGGGCAGGAAAGAATGCTGGGGTCAAACGACCCCGGCTAGGTGATTGTCTAGCCTCCTCCTTTTGAAGACCCCCAAGGTTGGAGCGAGCACCACTTCTCTTGGAAGTTGGTTCCAGATCCTAGCCGCCCTGACTGTGAAGTTGCGCCTCTTGATATCTAGCCTGAACCTACTCTTGATCAACTTGTGGCTGTTATTCCTAGTTACTCCTGGTAGTGCTTGGAGGAACAGGGACTGTCCCGTTCCTCGCAGGTCCCCCCATGGTAAGTTTATAGACAGCCACCAGATCCCCCTTCAGCCTTCTCTTGTGGAGGCTGAACAGGTTCAGGTCCTGTAGCTTCTCCTCGTAGGGTCTGCCCTGCTGCCCCCTGATCATGCGGGTGGCCCTCCTCTGGACCCTCTCGATGCTGGCCTCATCCCTCCTGAAGTGCAGCACCCAGAACTGGATGCAGTACTCCAACTGCGGCCTGACCAATGTTGCATACAGGGGGAGGATCACCTCCTTGGACCTGCTCGTGATGCATCTGTGGATGCATGACAAGGTGCGGTTAGCCTTACTGACCACATCCTCACACTGTTGGCCCATGTTCATTTTAGAATCGATAATGACTCCAAGATCCTTTTCTGCCTCTGTGCTGGCAAGAAGGGAGTTCCCCAGGCTGTAGGTATGCTGCTGGTTCTTCCTTGCCAGGTGCAGCACCTTGCACTTGTCAGTGTTGAAACCCATCCTGTTCTCATCCGCCCACCCCTGTAACCTGTCTAGATCTAGTTGCAGCCTGCCTCTCCCTTCTAGCGTGCCCACATCCCCCCCACATCTTAGTGTCATCTGCGAATTTGAACAGGGTGCTTTTCACCCCCTTGTCCAAGTCACTGATGAAGATGTTAAACAGTGCGGGCTGGAGAACTGAGCCCTGGGGGACCCCACTGCCCACATCCCTCCAGGTCAAAAAATGACCCATCCACCACCACTCTCTGGGTGCAGCCCTCAAGCCAGTTTGCGACCAATCTGACTGTGTAGGCACTGATGCCACAGTCGCCTAATTTTTTAATGAGAATGGGGTGAGTGACACTGCTGAAGGCCTTCCCAAAGTCCAGAAAGACTACGTCCACTGCGACACCTGGAGATACAGATGACTCTAGGAATTGGGAATGGCATGAGAGAAAATGAATTCATAGGAGAAATTTGATTAGCTATGGTGTGTGCCAGATTGTGAGCATCTAGGCTAACCCAAACAGCATGGTTTAAAAAATAGTGACAACACTATTAAAGCTAACATACATATATGAAATGGAAAAACAGGAAAAATTGAAGGCAATGAATATAAGTTAGAAATAAGGGAATCAGAAGGAGCTAATAAAAAGACAGTAAAAGAGGTATTTACGTAGAATAGGAAAAAAATTGAGTTCTAGTAGTGCCATTGATACAGTACTGTTATCTTCATATTGAGGGACTGCTGATTACGATTGATACAGTACCAGATGGACCATGCAGAATTCTTAAAAATGCAGAAAGGCAAAAGCATTCAATAAATATTTCTGTTTTGGATATGGGGGAAGGGGGGGGAAATGGATGATGTATTTATACACGAGGCCAATGAAACTATTCATTTCACCAATATTTAAGGAGAATGTGAAAAAGAAGATACTGAAGTTAGACATTTTTAAATCAGCCGATTGAGATAATTTGCATCACGAGTTTTAAAAGAGCTGATCAAGGAGACAACATCAGTTAATGCTGATTATCAGAGGACTTGAAAAAGTATACTACAGTGGCAATATCTTTAAAAAGGTACACAAAATGACTTTGCATACTATATGCTTGTCAGCTATCGGCTATAATTCCAGACCAAAAAAATGGAACAGCTGATATAAGACTTCAATTAAAGAAAGATAATAGAATTAATTTTGACTGATTCAGATGTATGGAAAAATGGTCCCATTAAGTTATTTTTAGAATATAAAATCATATGTTAGAATATTGCAAATTTGATTGATAAAATTAAGAAAATAAACAAACAAATACACAATAATAATATAATGTAATATAATTAGGTTTCTGTGAGGTATTTGACTCAGTATTGCAATACTATTTATATTAATGAACTAAAATGATATAAAGCTAATATAGCACATACTAAATTGATCAAACACTAACTTACAGGCCCTAGAATAAAATTATAAGATAAGGAATCTTCATCAAACAGATATATATCTTGGAGGCCCACAGGGCCTTGACCTGGTGCTATATAACATACAGTAACCAATCACTTGGAGAAAAACATAAAATAAGTCTGCACAGCTACGAATTATATCCTACCTGAAAGCTGACACTACCCACTGGCAGGTACTTGCGATCCTCCAGCATGCTCAGGTATTCGGCAACCAGAGCTGCAGCGTGGACCAAGCACATAGCAGCCTCTGTGTAGCACTTCTTCTTGGTGTGTTTTTCTGCCATGTTCTGTAGCCAGGTCAATCTCAAATCAGGGGAAGTCTGATACCCTTTAGCAATTCTAACAAAAACAGGTTTAGAATAGATTTGAGGAGACATTTGAAAAGGGGAGAGCCCCCACTCCTAAACCTAACATCCTCCATAATTGCTTACAAATTGCCTTATGCATAAACAGTGAAATTAAAACCCTTGTTTATAAAAATCATACCCAAATGACTCCTGCAATTTGTATGTTAGATCATAAATAGGTATTGTACTGGGCACCTGGAGAGCTTCTCAGTAAAGACATGTTCGGCAGAGACTCAAAGGCCTTTGTGTTTGCTTCCTTTTGAAATGGTTCAGCAACAGTATTAAGAGGGTTCACCTGTACATGAGATCCATGAGCATTTCTGGGTCTTCCTGGAACTCCCTCATTTTCACTGTATCTGATAAGATGCTGTTCAAATTACATAGCAGCTCCTCTACCTGAATAAAAATAAATGTTGACACACATTTTTCCGGTCTTGGATTTTTTTGTTTGTTTTTTTTACTTCCATTAAAAAAATGTCAGCACATGATTTACAAGACTGACAGACCCATTACTGTAGCATTAATGCTGTAGCATTAATTTACAATACGGAAGAGTCATAATTATCACAATGCACGTGCTTCCACGCTAACTTAGAGAAGTTGTGGAATCTCTATCCCTGGAAACTTTTAAGAGCAGGTTAAGGGCAGAGGGTCCACCCTTGAGCAGGGGAGGGGTTGGACTAAATGACTTTATGAAGCCCTTTCCACAAATATTTTCTGTGATTTTAAATCATATTTAAGCAATTGATAAAGGGACCAGTCACAAAACAAGATTGATGAACTCAGAGAAACCCAGGTTTTTTTGTTCATTGATTTAAAAATGTTTAGATCCACATTGGAGTCCAACTTCTGGTTCAGAAAAATCTGTTAAGCAGATGTGCCGGCGATTCTTCAGTACCAGATATTGCCCAATGGGTAACCCAGCTAAATCCTTCACTGTCAAACATGGTTTTGGTGTCATGGATGCAGTCTCTTTATGAAATGAAAAGGAATAGTGGGAGGGGAAGCATTTTAAAATCTTGTTTTGATAACACAGAATGTGACAAAGTACCAGTTTCTCATGATGCTTAGGAAATCATCTTGCTTTATAAGATGGAATGACAAGATGAATTAAATTAACCAACAAAGGTGCCTGTAGATATGTGGGGTGCCTGCTCTGACACACTGTAGTTACAGCACATCAGAGCAGACTCATTTAATTGAGTCTGCTGGAGTGTGCTAATTAGCATGCTCCAGCAGCCTTGGTGTCTTGTGCATTCAGCATCCCCGCACTTCAAAATGGTGGCGGGGGCGCTTTAACTAAAGTTAATCAAATAAGCTTTAGTTAAAGCACCCCTGCCACAATTTTGAAGTGCAGCATGTTGAATACATGAGACGCTGTGGGTGCTTTAATTACAGTGGTTCCCAAGAGCTGTTCTAAGTAAAGCACCTGCCTATCTCAAGAGCATGTGTAAAGACATCCCAAATGTGCCAAACTGTGAGGGTATATATGCCAGCCCAAGTGACCAGAAACAGTGAGAAATGCCACCTTTACTTTCTATATAAAAGGACTTTAATATTTTTAAAAAGATTTTTTTGGGCAGTGGCAAGCATTGTCTGCGACTCATGGCTGCACAAAATGTAACTATCCTCATCACATACTTCTTACAGCATTGCTTTTAAAAACAAGGTACGTGTGTGTGTGTGTGTGTGTGTGTGTGCGCGCGCGCGCGTGTGCCCTGGGTATAGGTATCTGTGCATGTGCAGGCATGTGAAACTTTATCAGCTTTGTTTTTGGAGTACAGGGAGGAGGGGAAGAAAGGGGTTATGTTATCATGGTACAGCTGATTTGAAAACATCACGAGCCAAATGCTAGCCCTACATTACCCATACATGCAGCTCATAGTAGATTCAAGTGAAATTATTTGCACATGGTTAAGAAAATCATCCTATGCCATTTTATTTTCCCACAGACATATGGAACACCTACATACAGGTGCTCATATAATGCTTATTCTGTAGGCATGTGTGCTCAGCTTCAGCCCCAGATTGTAAGGCCCCTGCCTTGCAGCCTGGGTAACAAGGTCAGCGGTGTAAGGCCCAGCTTCCCTTATAAGTGTGTAAGCCTCACTTATAAACTAATGAAGGCCAGCTGACCTGAGCCTTTTCCCTCCAACTGATTCTGGGGATGCTTTTAAAGAACTCTTCCAGTACCTGAGCCTTACTGCACAACTTCTTGGTCTCCCATCCCTGACTAGTTCCTGTCCTGCAACTTCTCTAGCTTTCTTGGATCTTGACCCTGCATTTGGCTTGCTCCTGGATTTTAGCACTGGATTTCCATGCAGATCTGCTTCCTGACCTGGATTTCACTCTGTTCTTGGACCTCGCCCTGTGGATTGTCCCTCAGATCTGGTAACTAGGCCTCTGATTCTCACATCCTGACCCTGGCTTGGCATTTGGTTCCTGACTCTCAGCTTCTGACTGCTACCCCTGCAATTCTGTACCCACTGGGCTGTATATCCTGGTGGACCGTGATACAGACCTCCTAGATATTACAAGAATTTCATATGCATAACTTGGTATTAAAATAGAAGCAAGCCCAAGTATTCATCTCTTTATTTTCAACACTTAGGAATGCTCAGCTCTACAGTCTGGCTTGTCCCCACTCCCATATGAAAGGTCCTGAAGCTAGCATCAGAAATCACAAAAGTACTAACCTGGGCTGGAAATAGAGTTGACTGCATGTCTGCATCTTCCTCTGCATATGCCAGGATGGTTCGTAAGGATCTCCTCAGATATTCCTCATTGAAGTCAGATGACTTACCAACCAGAGAAGCCAGAGACATGGTCACTTGCATCTTTACTCTTGCAAAGTTCTTTATAAAAGGAAAAACACCAAAGAAGAAGGCTTTATGAATTCAAACATATTTGTTTTCCATAGGTTTCTGTTTACTTAGGTGCTTGCAGGATGTAAATCAACTTTTTTCCTCTTTGCTTAAACAAAGAAGGCCAAAGTCACCCCTGGGACCAGTGGCCATCGCTCTAAAGTCAACACAGTTGTACCTGTTTATGCCAGGTGTCAATGTGGCCCAGTAATTAATTTGTAAATGGATGCCTTAGGGAAGGCTGCATCTTGGATTTTAAATCCCTGCAGGATATAAGGGGATCCAAAAGGAAGTATTGGCCTGAGGAACAGCACTTGATGCTCAGAAGCTTATCAAACAGCTCTCCCAACTATACAGTTGGTCCAGTAAAGATATCACAGAAAATACTTGCCCCTCACATATGGTATGCTTATTCATAAGTGCTGACCAAATAAACATCTAGTTTTATACTGTGTATTGACATTTTATGGGGCCAAGGGCCAAACTGTACTGTCATACCAATACCAATCTGCATGAGTTTCATTCCAGCCCAGGACATTATTCCATATTTACATCAGTGAGACTGAGAGGAGAAATGGGGGCCCAGTCTGTGTAGAAGCTGCAATAATTCTTACACTGGGTTAAGAGCACTTAAGAAAAGATAGTGAAGTAACAATGTTGTTTATGGGGGTTTTTTTTGGTTCATTTGTGCAAGAGATCTTCTAAAATGTAGGCATCTTTTATTTAAGCCAGTTCATTACTGACATGTAGTATTTTCTCAAATGAAACAGGAGTAACCAACTATTTCAAACTCCTTGCCACAACCTGCTTTCCCCCTGCCACTTTCCTTCCCTAGTTAAAAATTCACATAACACCACAACAGTTGGCTGTTGATATCTGCATGTTTTCAATTCATTGTCAGTTTCCATACTGATTTTAAATGAAAATATGGAAACTATAAAGTGGGTCTGCTCTGATGCGCTGTAACTACAGTGTGTCAGAGCAGACACCCCACATATCTACAGGTACCTTTGTTCTAAATAAAATCTTACATTAGCAGAGCTGAAACTGTATCTCGTCAAGAGGTAAAGTGTTGCACAGGCTTGAGTACGAGTGACCTCTATGCTGCTGCTGCAGTGATGTAGAAGTCGTTGGCACAGGTCAGCACATTGTTCCACTTCCTCTTCAAACAGGAAATCTCCAAACTAAGGGAGGCAGAGAAGACACTAGTATTATTGCCAATCCCAAGCATTCAGGCATTGTACTTGTGAGAGTAGATTAAAAATGATAAGACATTTTTGGCTCTTTTGATAAGAGTTCTGCTTTCTAAACCTTCATGGTTCACATTTTCAAGATTTTCCCTTTAACTCCTGTCCCCTGGAAATGTTCTTTCTACCACAATGAGCTACACTATTTAATTGTCCTAAAACATTTCCATTGCTGACCTCCCATCCAGCTTTCATTCCTGATCCTATTCCAAATTTTAGTTTTATGCAAGTTTTAATTTTAGAGATACAAATTATTATGGCTTCAGTCCAAGCCTATCAACACCTATGTTCCAAGGAACTTTTAAACAGAATGCCGATGGAGTCACATATATTGTACGTGCATAGATAAAAACCAAGATGTACATCCAACAAACACATGCCATTATCTCTTATTGTAAAACCTTGTATAACCAGTTCTCAACCTCAGCCCTTTCTTCAGTGTCATCTTGCTGTTTACACTGCACACTGGTTGACAAAGTCCCATCATTTTTACTCATTTATAGAACAGCATACACCTCCCTGTGGTACAATACAAATTATTTGAACAGTTGTTTCATAAAATATAGTACCAACTCCCTTTAATTGGAAGACAGATTCAAATGATTTTACAAAGCATTCATTATTATAAATTATTTTGATTGGAAGTTAGCTTTAAAAAATAATGTACAATGAGACTTTACTTATGAACTTCATACCTATTTGGAGAACAACCCAATAATTTAGTTTGTCAGGTAATCTACACTTAATGGGAAATGGCCATAATGAACAGGATACTCCTGTCCTTTTTGTGTGTGTTTTTGGATATTTTCAAGGATTTTTCACTTCTGCATTTGGAGTGGAAACACTCCTTCAAATAAAGATCCACACACTACGAAATGCTAAACAATTTCCTAATGAGGCCTCTCCCCCAAACCCCTATATTAAAAGTTGAAAACAGATCTGCTATGACTTATATTATTAAGATATTGGCTAAATGCTGCCTGGAAATCTATCAAATCTATCAATGTCAGTGGAAATATGCTGGTGAAAAACAAATGGATAATTTGGCCTAGCATTTAGACAGAATGAAAGTACTAATATAAATTTAATTAATAGAAACCCTCCATGGTCTGAAGAATGTCTTGCATTCAAAAACTTGTCTATCCCAACTATATAGTTCATCCAATAAAAGATATCATCCTAAGAAATCCTTGCCTCTCACATTAAGAGACTAACATCACATCTCATTTACAGTATAACAGTTTAAATCTGGAAGAATCCCAATGTCTTAAAAGGAGTTGATATTTTTAAACCATGGATGAAACGATTTTCACACAGTAATGAACTAATACACATGTACCGGTGTGTCTGTGCATGAAACCTGTTTTGATGGATGCAAATGTAAATATTTATTGCACTTAGAGATCTGCTCTAAAAATTGCCTAATGTCTTAACTAGAAATACGAAAACGTAAGCCTGTCAAGAGTTTACCTTGGCAATGAGTGCTCTGAGTGTAGCGAAGCAATGTGTTAGGTAAGTGGTGCTCTGATCACAGCCGAGAGAGTTTACCAGGACCTTCAGTACTCCTCCCAAAAGGTTCTCTCTACAGTCCACAGCAGAACTTGCCTACATACAGAAAAGAGTAATAAATTGAACAGAGGAATCCCATAATAAACTTGCCCATAAGTATGGAGATTTTACTTCTTTCATCAAGACGACCCTTCTAGGCTGCAAACAAAGTGACATTTGAAATCTCAGGGTTTTTCCTCATTCTTGAGTGTGTGCTTACTCTCATGTTACCACAACATTGGAAAGATTTCTATTGGAGTCACTTCTTATGGGTTAGTGGCTCAGCAGGGAAGAGGAAACCCTTCATGTGCCTTGAATCCCTGCAATTTATTTTTAATTTAGTTTATTCCTGTACCTATCCTCAGAGGACCATATTTTTTAGATCTTCCTTCTGTTTGGGTCTTTATGCTTCTTTAAAGGTCTATACAGGAGCCTTCAGTACATCGTTTTTCTACTGTCAAGAGTTAAAGAGCAGTATAAGTTACTCTCTCTCTGTGTTGGCAGTGAGGTCATAGCCTATCACATAAATAAAAACCTCAGAACCAGGGGGCCAATCTTCAACTGATATTAACTGTCACAGATCCACTAACTTTGACTGACCTTTGACTTTACCCTGGGAGGTAAAACAGGTTCTGCAAGTTTCTCCCCGCAAGCAGGTGTTTTTGCCAATATGCCCTCATGCAGGTAGAGGGGTACCATGGACCAGAGTGGTGTGTAGGGTTAAACTCTAAATTCAGATGTCTTACATGACAATGCAGAACATTTCCACAAGAGCAGCAGGCCAGTCCCATTTTGTTACCCAATACAAATCAATACTGTCCTTTCCCCTTCCAGCCTCAAAACAGGACTGACAACCCCCTGTATCCTGAGAAGTTAACTGAGATTGGATTTCAAGTACAGTTATGTAGAAATGGGGCCAAATTCTCTTCTCTGTTACACTGGTGAAAGCTCAATGAGTGAAAGGGGCTTACAACAACAGTGTAATAAAATGGCATATTTGTCCTTTTCTCTTCTTAAAAACAGAGATCATTAAAGATCCTTTTTATTAATTGTGAATGTTAAGATTCCTTTTTTTTTAGTTAAAATATGTACTGCTTAAGAAGCAGAAAAATGCATCTTTTTCCCTTTTAGAGAGGTTGATGCAGAGCCAGCTGTGGAGTTCTCACCTGGATGATGTTCTCTTGCATATCTAAGATGATCAAATTAGCTTCTGTAGCCAGATTTCCACTGATCAGAGCTTCTTGATCGAGCTCAGCTTTCGTTCTGTGAAAAGAAGCACTCCTCATTATTTGGATGACAACCAGTTGTATCAACTAAAGGCAGAGTTAAAAATGACTGAATCCTGAATGTTCCCACAGGGATGGGTAATAGCAATCTCATTCAAGGGCATTTCCCAAGGACCATTAGATTTACTGGGAGGAGCTGATATACTAGATGAGTGGTGCCCAACTGTTTTGCCCAGCAGGCTGGATTGGATGGGCTGTGCCCAGTCCATCTGTGGGACAGAACCAGCTGGTGGTCCTGATCCAGCACCCAGGGAGGCCCAGACCCATGGGAGGAAGGGGGCTTGATCCAGCTCTTACCCAGCCCTGTAGTGGGGGAAAGCGTCATGGCCCAATTTTGCAGGGCAAAGGGGCATGGCCCAGCACCGGTGCAAGCTGTATAGAGGGAAGGAGGCCTAGCCTGGCCTGGGCCCAATGCAGCCACATGGGGTAGAGGTGGCATGGCCTGGTCCCACAGGGAGATGCAGTGTGGCCCAGTCCCAAACCGGCTATGCGGAGGGAAGGGGGCATGCTCCAGCTCGCATCTAGCTCTGCATGACTTGGGAATTTGGCTGTGGGGAGAGGTGGCAGTATTAACTGCCACTGCTTCCCCACTTCTAAATCTTCTGACCCATGGGGAGACCTGTGGGTTGGATGCCCTGGCTCCATGGGCTGGCGGTTGAGCAGCCCTGCACTAGATCTTAAATCCTCAGGAAATGTACTACAGGTGGGCTTCTACATATTGTTAATAGCCGATTGCCGTTACCATTGGCATAATAATAATGAACAATATTTATAAAGTGACACCTATGCCTCAACATGCCCACAAAGTGACATGCTACAGCCTCAAACCAGGGACCTTGGTCCAACTAGCACAGCCTCTCATCCTGGCCTGCTACCTAACAGCTAGCCACCCATGTCAGTCGAGGCTGTCCTGAAGCCTTGAGGAGAGTTTAGCCCTCCACCCACTCACTGGCACTGGAGTGGCTGGCCAGAGTCAGCTGAACCTCCACTTCCCTCATATAAATGTTTGACCCAGAATATGATTTGTCTGGGTAACAGGACTTAATCTGATCCCAGACTGCCTCGCTGTTCCCTCAGGCTTGTATTCTGACTCCACTCTTGGCCTGATTTTGTCTTTTGACTTGCTTTGATCTCTGACTCCACTCTCTTCCTGATCCCCCAGCTTCTTGACTCAGCCTCTTCCTAGACCCTATTCTCAGACTGATCTCCTGGCTTCCTGACTTGGCTTGCCCCTGGAATCTGCTTGTTCCTCCCAACCCAGGTTGGCATCTTGATCCCCAAGTGGCTCCAGACTTGGATGCCCATGACCCAGTGTGACAAAGCTGCTCAAGGAGCTGTACAATAAACATCTGAAAGCATACACTGCAGTGATACACCCAGAATAGAGTTATGATAAAAGTAATCCCTTATAAAAATCTGTAAGAAAAGAATAGAGAAGACAGCCATAAGGAAGGGGGAAAATATTGCTGATCCCAGAATATTTTTGCTGCATAAAAGCAGAATTTAGGACAGACTGAAATAGGTGAAAAAGGGGCAGCAAATTCCAGAGCTATGGATCCAGTGCAGCCAAGACAATGACCATTTGATGCGAGAAGGAATAGTGGCTTTTCTAAAACCCAAACCTGTATCAAGACCAGGCTTAAGGAAGAAGCCTGGAATAGAGGCCTTCTGCACCTCTCAGCAGAGGTGATGCATGATATTGAGCTTGATACATGATTTGTAACAAGAAATTTATTCAATAAAGTTCATCATCTATTTGCTGATTCTGTACAACTCATGAATACACCATCATTTGCTTAAATATATTAATGATGCAAAATTCAACTACAAAAGCGGGGGGGAAAAAAGCATTTGCAGATAATTCCTGGGTTCCTATATATGTGCAAACTGTCACTTGTAAGTATTCAGCATGTGAAACTGGAGCTGTTTTGGCTGAACTCAGTTCTCGCAGGCGATTTTCTGTCCAGGGCTGGATGAACAGTTCTTACTGTAGACTTTTCATATGGATTCAGGATTTGCTTTCTGTGAATATTCCATATTTTTTCCCCTATAATTTTTTATCTGCATGAAACTGGAGGTCATGGATAATGAAGACCAGCAGGGTCATCAGAGTCAGCTCAGCACTTTTATAGACTGCCAGGTAGTGAAGAGAAGGCATAACTTGATTGATCACAATTACCCAGAGCAATGAAAGATTGGGAGGCCCTGCCAGGAGACCATTGTAATAATCGAAGCATAAATATGAGCAAGACTGGCACAAATTAAATAAGCAACAACACAATCCTTTGAACTGGTTCCCGCAACCACAATATGATTCAGGCCCTGTACGTTAACCATTTTGATTTATCTTGTTTGTGTGTTCAGTAGAAGAGTCTTAGTCAACGTTTAGGAACAGACTGACTTTATTAATAAATAAACTGAAGGAGAGGGACATAATGGGAGCCAACTCTAACATACAACTGCTTGGAACCTTCACTCCCAATCAGCTGCTCAAAACCAGTGCTCTCCAACGAATATGGTTATTTTGTACAAGCCTTTTAAAGGGCCAGTAACCTTAAAAAAATGACTGACTCCTCTCTTTATATTCCATTTGCTTTGAAGTAGAGATAACTTTTCATAGTGAATACAAAATGGGACCCATGGGGAAAAAAGAGATAGAATCAGGATAGGTGCTCAAAATGGGGGCCACCAACTGACTCCCCAATAAGTGCTGGAGAATGAAAAAAAACCCAACACTAACTTTTTCAATAGGAAATGCATTCAGACTTGGCTCCCCCTTGGTTCAGGGTATCTGCTCAAAAGGACAACAAGACATTCAGAGAGCACAGAGACATATGGATCCTCTCAATATGCAGACTTGCACTCTTAGCTAAAGGAGCAATTGATTAAACTGAACCAATGTGGCCCACACCAAGAATAGTACCTAGTAGGGCTGTGCGAAGCTTTGGTTGCTGATTCAATCTAGTGGAGATTCAGCCCAATTCAGTGGCTGAATCTCCAAATCCAAATCGAATCAGGAGATCCTTTAATCTCTCCGAATCAAATTGGAACCCTCCGAATCCATTCGGAGAGATTCGGCGATTCAGACATAGACACAGCTTTGTTTTTTCTACATACCTCAAGATACCAGGGGGCTTGTGAATGCTGCAATGCTAGGGCACGTGGAGTGCCCCACAGGAGCGCGGGGGGGGTGTCCCCCCAGTGCACTCAATAGCAGACCTGGAAGTGGACCAGAAGCACTTCCAGTTCACTTCCAGGTCCACCAGTGAGCATGCAGGGGGCCACCCTGTGCCCCCCCCCCCCCCCCCCCCCCTGACTGGTGCCTCCTGGGTCTGGGGGGGCACCCGGGGTCCCCCCTGTGGCCAATCGCTGAACCGGAGGACATGTCGGGGGGAGGGGGAGGCTGCTTACTTCCCGGCAGACCCAGAAGTGGACCAGAAGTATTTCTGGTTCACTTCCGTGTTCACTGCCAAGCATGAAGGGGGTCTCCCCGTGCTCCTGTGGGACACTCCATCTGCCCCAGCATTGCAGCATTCACAAGCCCCCTGGTACCTTGAGGGATGAAGAAGCTGAACCGGAGGACATGTCGGGGGGAGGGGGAGGCTGCTTACTTCCCGGCAGACCCAGAAGTGGACCAGAAGTATTTCTGGTTCACTTCCGTGTTCACTGCCAAGCATGAAGGGGGTCTCCCCGTGCTCCTGTGGGACACTCCATCTGCCCCAGCATTGCAGCATTCACAAGCCCCCTGGTACCTTGAGGGATGAAGAAAAAACACTTAACGCTGTGTTTACAGCTGAATCGCTGATTCTCTGAATTAGCATTGAATCTTCAGATTCGTATTTGGCCAAATCGAATCAGGGATAGTGATCAACACATTGAATCACTGTCCCTGATTTGGGGCAAATCTGAATCCAAATCAAATAGAGCCCATTTCACACACCCCTAGTGCCTGATTTGTCAGCATTTCCCCTATTTCTCCTGTTCAGCATGAAGCTTGATAATTAAGGACCAATTTATACTTCCTTGGCACAGACCAAATTCATTTGGACTTTTATTGAAATTTTACATGAAGGAGAACAAAAAGGTCCACAAAATTTGGTCCTAACATTTCAGCTTCTGTTTTCAGAAAGAGAACACTAGTAATCATGCTAACTCAGCATTCTATTACCTAGTTACAACTGTGCCACATAATTTAGTCCAGTACTCCTCGGCTATATTAGTCAGCTCTTGAATAAATAAAAATACTGCAGCAAAATGTCTTCAGTGATGAAAGGATAGGCATATTCTTCACAGACAAAGCATAGAGGCATTTTCTTGCTCTTTCTTTTAAACTGCAGTGAATTCAAAAACTGAAAATCTTTGCTCAAAAAGATAGCTGAACAACAGTTTACCTGCTTATCGCAGAATCTTTACAACTCCAATGGACAAAAAACTAAAACCAATACCCCTTTTCCCAGCCAAAGTAACTAAAAAGGGCTCTGGAAATTCAGTACAACTTTAATATAGAGAAGATGCTACCCCTTTTTAAAAAAATGGCATCTATTTAAGATGATTACATTTATGCAAGTAGGTATAGGGAAAAAAATTGTCTCTCTTCTAGTGAAGAAGTCACCTGCTCTATTTTTACCCTCAAACTTCAGATAGTAAAAAACTGTTGTATTCACAAATGGCAAGCTGAAACTTGTAACAAAAACATCATAAGAGAAGAATCTTTTTTTTCCCCCTCCTCTGGTAAATAATTCACCAATGGGTTACATCTGGCAAATTTAGCGAGACAAAGCACATATTGCCATGCTGCATACATTCAACAATGCAGCTACAGCACCCTAAAAGTCAAATAAGCCCTGTGGTACCTGGGGTATCATATGTATGTGTCTCATATACAGTTAAATCAGAAAGAAAAAGATGCATAGTTCACAGATTAAGCCCCTCAGGTCTTTAGAATCTCACTGGTATGTCCCAGCAACAGCCAACCCCCAAAGGAATTATTTTTTATTTCTTTTCCTTTTTGAAGAATGAGGCTGGAATGAAACTGCTGATTTTGTAATAAAAGCATCCTGGGGAAAAAAAACCCACAACCAAACCCAACCTGGTTTAGGTAAAAGTGATATAAATTTATTAAATGACTTACTTATCTTGCTTTTCATTTGCCTGCCGCCAGTGAGTCTGCTCTTTTCTCCATCGCAGGTTTTCATTTAGCCCTGCCAATCTGTCATTCCCTAAGAGTGCAACATACATCAGTAAGATTAAAGCGGAAAGAGAACACCTGCATTGTGATATCTAATCATACAGGGTGATCTACATTTCTGTAACAGTCATTTGGTGCTCGAATCCCTCAGCTTTCAGCCCTGGGGATCCTGCTACAAGGGCAGTGTCAATCATTTCTGAAACTCTGGGGCTTTTAAATTTAATTTGCAATTTTTAAAAGTTTCCCCAAGACATTTGTAACACTTTTTTTTTTTTAATGAGCTGACTTTTCACTGTAGAGGCAACTTGCTTTATTTTTAATGTTTTTGAAACTGTGGCCATGTATGAGGGATATCATAGAAACCATATCATGACACACTGAAAATGTTCAATGCACACAGTTTTTCCTTCTGTTCTTGCAACTAAGATAGGGTCAGAAAAGTGATTATTTGAAGGGAACAACCTTGCAAACCTGTTCCCCCATGTGGTCTGAGACACATCTGTTTTCATTACTAATTTTAAAAGGGCCATTTAAAAGGTACATAATGGACAAGAAACATTGCTAATATCAACTCATGCCCCTCATATCACAGAGGACAGAATTTGCCCCAGACAGAGCAGGCAGGGAATGTGTCCCCTAGACCAGGAAAGGTACTGATCTCATGGCAGTCATGACCACTATACCACTACCCAGTCCTAAAATATAGAGGATGCCCTACATTACGGAGCCCATAGTAACTGTCAGTGTCTCAGACTTCATTATTTCAATATGCAGTGCTTAGAATAGAGTCAAAGAAACATTACCTCCAAAAATTCACGTGTAAGTTGGCTATATATTTGTAACAGATTTGAGCCCTAAACTATAAAAGCCTTTGACAATTTTATACATAGAAAAGCACCCCCAAAAAAAATCCTGGAACAGATATAAGGGTCAATTACTATAGTAAATGATGTCAAACATATGGCCTGTGGGATAGATCTGTCCCACAGATATGGGTCATCAGGCCCATGGGGCTTCTTGTTGCAGTTGCCAGCAGCCAAAGTGTTAACACTACCACTGCTCAATCCCCAAAGCCATGGCTGCCAGCACCAGCACCTAGTGGGTGAATGCCACTGCAGAAATTAGTTTTTTGTTGCCACTGGTGACTAAAAATCAGCAGTATTCATCCCCTGGCTGGTGGCCATGCTAACACTGCTCTAGCAGCCACCGCAGTTAACTGCTCAGCTGCTAGCACCATCACAGCAGCACTAGCAACTGTAGCTAGAAGCTCTGTGGTCTAGGTCCAGCCCATGGGAAGCCCATGGTCCGAATCTGACCCATAAGATGCACTGCAGTCCAGATCCAGATCCAGGGCACAAGGGGCCATGCAGTGTGGATCCAGCCTGTGGGGTGAAGAGCTTGACATCCCTGTTGCTAACTGAAGATTTGGAGAGTTGTTGCTGTCCTTTAAACCCCGAAAGGGAAAGAGATTTGGATCGCCAGCTCATTTGAAGTTTTCTGATTAAAGATAAAGGGGAAAAAACAAAAAGTACCAGCTGGTGTCCTGCAGCGTTTCATCATTTCACCTCTGGCCCCTTCTCCTCTCAGTAAAGCCTCTTCTAGCCGGGCTTTTGCATCTTTCGACTTCTGGAGCACTTGAGTGCTAACTTTATCTGAGCTTTGTTTGCCCTGGACATATGTAAGAAAGCAAAGTCATTTTCTTCACTTCAGAGCACCTATGTTAAAAATACACACACACTGCTAATCCAAAGTGTACTGCTGGGACTTCTGATATCCCTTTTGGACACAATTCAAAACAGGTGGAGGCCAATGAACACCATTATCAATTTACAAAAGCAGTGTGCATACTATCAAAGAGCCGGTATGTGTACTGTTAGCAAATACACAGATATATCTGGAAGTAAAGAGAAAGGTGACATTTGAGAGATAAATACTCCAATATTTCAAACTATTTAATGATAATAGTTTGCTCTTGTAGGGCTCTGGTACAACATTGCACTTAACCTCACAGTCCCATTGAGCAGTAGGTATTATTATTCTAATTTTACAGTGAAGAAATGTAGGCACAGGGTGAAATTACTTGGCCCGGTAGAGGTACATAGCAGCAGAGATGAGAGTTCTGACTTCAAGCACAAACCTTAGCAGTACCACTTCTCTACCCAGGACTTGATAAGAAACAGTGCAACTCTGGGCTGAAAGAATCTACCCTAACCCCTATTTTCACAGGCAACTTCTTTATACAAGGAAAATAGTAAAGAAATTTGATTGTAGAAATGTGCAAAATGTAATAGTGAGTAAAGCTTCACAGCTTGGGAAATTTGATTCGTAGATGTTTAGCTGAACCTCTCAAGGAGGAAAACGTTGGCAGAAAAGACACATCAGCTTGACTTCCTGTCTGAAATAAGATACTCAGAGCTCCATGAAAAGGAAAAAGTAAGAAAAATTTTAAACCAGTTTTGTAGAATCTCATAAACAAAGCGCTTGAGTTCTCATCATAGATTTGGACCAGTTATTTCACTTGAATCAATTTGTCCATCTCTAATCAAGATGAAACTCAGATGGCAAGCGGGCTATTTTACACCCTTCAGTCACAGAATTCTGGTATTAAGGACTGCTTTAGAGGCAAAGAAAACATAGGGACAAATCAGCAACCCAACCGGGTCACGTTCCATTTACCTTGTATTCAAAGCATGAGACACAAATGAAGAGGAGATCTAAAATCCTGTTCAGCTGCATGGATGGAAGGTCAGTAATCCATTTCTGAATGAGGTTCTGATCAGCATTCTTCATGATCCAGAGGAAACAGATCAGAAGGTTGCGAGTGGCATCAGGACTCAGCATGCTGTACTGTTTGTAAGGCTAGCAGTTGATAAAAACAAACATATTTGACGAGAGGAGAAAAAGGAGAAAGTCGTGTTATTTAAATAACTAGTGGAGTCTAGCATCATGAGTGCTCCATCTATTCCAGATTCCCAATTTATGATATACCCATTATATTTTCCAAAAGGCACACCTAAGGTTCTGGAATTAGTACTAGGGTGTGGGTGTAAAAAGAGGAAGAGTAGCTCCCCACAGTATTTCTATATGTTCCCAGCAACAATCCTAACATCGGCATCAAAAAAAAAAAAAAGAGTTCTGCCCAAGTGCTCCCAATTCTGCAGGTAATGATACTTAAATATGTTGCCTGGCTGCTTTATGGAGCATGTTGAGGGATGCTTATGACTGGTGGTGGTGGGGCAGGGTCCTGTGGAGGAAGGAGCAGGGACAGTGCAGTGCCTGGCAGTGACTGAAGAAGTAGTGGTACAAAAACCAGATGGCTGTGGGAGTCTGGCTCACTTTGGCAAAGGCAAACCAGCAGGTGGCATAGATTCAGCTCATACAGGTTTCAAATCCTGGTGGAGTGAGCGTCTCCCTTGATAACCCAAGCCCCTGCTGAGCTGAAGATTTCCAGGAACCACAGGGAAAGGAAGAAAGAAAATATTGAAAGAAAACAGTAGGAGAAATGAAGGAAGGAATGAGGGTAGGCTAGCAAAACACTGCACACATACCAATGAAGACAGAGATACACCAGAAGTCCTGAGGAGGTTGAACTGATTCCCAGCAATGGCCAAGGCAACAGACTGATTGATTGTAGATTCTTGATCTTCATCTGGATTCCCTGAACGACCTTTCCCACCACGGGCATCTGAAACTAGATTTGAAGCATCTCACTGACACTGCATGGTACAATTAAATGTAGCTTTGGTTTTCTAAGTATCATGTGATGGCATGGTCGCATATCCACCCCTGTTGGATGGAACAAACCAACTGGTATTTCTCTTAGTCATGGCTTGTTAAGGTGAAATAGTAATGGAGGAAAAGGAGAGAAGAAGAATAAGATTACCAGGACATTGTGCACCAAGGAAGCACCAACACATTCCTCTTAAGTGGGCTTAGCCTAAAATCTCCACTTTTAAGATGCATTAAGGGTGCAGGTCGACACATATGCACCCTTAATGTGCCTTAAAAATGGCAGTTTAAAGCTATGTAAGCCTAAATTTGATATCTGCATAAAGACGGTATCAAATTTAGGTGGGAATAGCCAAGTTGCATTAGCACACGTGTAGATGCATTAACGATGTGCATTAATGTGGTATGCATCAGTGGATATACACTGTGTTAATGAACATTAGCATGTTTCCACGTGTGCTAATGTGACTCGCACCTAAACTTAATGTGCCTTAATGTGCATTAACGTGTCCACGCGTAGACGTGTACCTAAATCATCTTAATGTGCCTTAAGGAAAGGCACTTTAAGTTTAGGCACGCGTAAATGCACATGTAGACATGCCCAAAGACTCAAGTTAGTCAAAAAAGCATATGGACAGAAGGATCTGTTCAAACCCTCTCCTGCTGTTTTGAAAAAAATTGTTTCAAAGGAAAAACCATCGGGGGACCTGAGGATTTTCAAATGCTTAGACTATGTCACTTTGCGCCATGTTTAATTGGCATTACCTGGCTAAGTATCCCCACCAAAACTGTATATGTGGGTGTGGGACTGTTACAGAAATATGTACATAGGTACAAATCTAGCAGCTGTCGATAGAAGAGCTTTTTAAGTGTTTAGTTTAACTAATCTGATGAAGTCTATAGAAAAACTGAGTAGGAAATAAATTTTCTAAGAATGAGTGTCCAATTTAAGGCATTTAAGCCTGGTTTTCAGAGGCGCCAAGTGACCTCACTTGATGTGCTCAATATCTCTGTAGTGGGTTGTTACTTTCACAATATAGGTTTTGTTTTCCTTAGGACAAACTTGCACCCATAGGAAACAACAAAGTATAAAACAAGCAAGCACAAAACAATAAATGATTAAACCAAACCCTGTGGTTCATTCCCAGATCCTGACACAGTAACCCCAGCTCTGCACAGCACCTCCACCTTCCCTCTCTCCCTCAGCTCCCTTCTCTGGGAGTTTTAATTTCCTCTGGGCCATCCAATCATCCCCATCAGTTAACCCAATCCCTCGTAGGCAGGCAGGCAGGCAAACTTCTTTCTACCACCTGCAGCTGGGCTGCAGCATTCAAGCCAGACATCCTGTTAAAATCTCCAAAAACAAACCCCATGGCATCTCATCTTAGACACCAAAAAAAGAAAAAAAGAAAGGACACCCCACTTTGGAACATTTAGAACTTTCATAACTATGCCTGTTTTCTCCTATATGACATAAAGATAAAACCTATCAAAAGGGTATAGTGACATTTAACTATGTCAAGCACTTTTACATTTTTGGATGGTAAGAAATAATATTTATTTATGATGTGACTGTTTTATTCCAGGGACTCTTGCATAATTGGTGAAAAAAATCTTAGGTTCTCTAAAAAAAAAAAAAGGCTTCCTTTTTTCATTACCACAAGTTTTTCATGTAAATGACAGGTACTTTTGCACGTAGCAAAGCAGAGCACTGCGTTTTAAAAGAATATCAGCTACTGTCATGGAAAAAACCCAAAGCAGCTACTTGGGGCAAATTCATACGAATCTACTACAGGAAAATATAACGGCGTAAAAGAGCTAGAGAACTATTTAAAAACAAAACTAAAAAACTAAACAACCTCTTCCACTCCACCCAAAATACCTCCAGGATTACAAGATTTTGAGCACCGTTTATAGTGACAGTAAGATAAAAATTATCTTCTCTAACCTTGAGCACGTTGGTTACATTTGTGTAAAATGCTTCTTGTAACTACAGTACCACAGTGCTAACAACATTAAGTAGTAATAGAAAGATGAATACATAATGTTCACCCCTGAAATTAACTGCATCCAATTCATCTGGTTGGGAATTTGAAAAATTATGTAATAGCGTGACAGTATTACTTTTGTTCTCCTTCCTAATGCACATTTTAAGCCATTCAGGGTTGGGGCCATGTGTATATGCTACCTAGGATTATAGTAATAATTATGCAGCTAAAACTATCTCCTTTATATTTTGAGATTCAGGTCACTTAAATTACTCAGTGAAGACAAATTAAAAAAAGAAAGTCATACCTGTGAAGTCATAGAGCTGTGGGAGTGCATCCAAAATGATCCCAACCAAAGGGAGGTAAAGAGCAGCGATTTTGACCTTCACCTCTTTTTTGGAGCAGCGCAGGTCTAGATCATGGGAACTCAGCAAGCTATGGATAGCACTGATAGCTTTCTTCTGCACCTTACCAATTCTGTTGGCATAAAAACAGGAACTAGTTTTGATATTGACACATGCAAGTTGTGCAGACCAGAAGCAAGAAGAGATGATTGGTGGGGGGAAAGAAGGCAGAAATCAACCACTCAGTAATTATAGGATAACATGTTTTGCTATAATCACAAAACAACATTTCAGTGTGCATTCCCAGAAGACCTGCAAATGAGTAGAAAATATTTGGCAAAAGGGCCTCCAAGTAATTCATTAATTCCAGGCAAATTCAACTCTGTGGAGAAATGAAGACCATTCTGAGATAACCACAGCTGTGCATTTACCCAAGCCCTTCAGATTAGAGACAGCAATGTTTTCAAGACCTTTGCTTTGCCAAGAACAGTTGAAAGTTGTGAGCTGTGATGTAAAAGCATGACATTTTCCTGCGTATTTAGGTAGCATATGCATTCATTGAGGCAAATGTTTTGCACCTAAAATGATTATTGTTATGTTACAAAATGACACATATATAATTACCCCTCAGGTTGGTGAAGGTTCTATCTGTTTTACTATGGCAAGAGCATTAAGAGGTATATGATCTTGGCTTATGCCAGGATGAGCTAGGTCTAGTTATCACTAAAGTCTATGTTAAATTTAAAGAGCTCTGTCATCTTTACCAGAGATTATCTTTTTGAGCAGCATATATTTCCCTTCCATGCAACTAGCATAGATTATCTCTTTTTTCCTCTACCCCGGCTTTGTCTCATCCCAGTTGCCATCTTAGACAACAAACTTGATGGTTCTCCTGGCTCAGTCCAGGTCTATTGCAGATGGTGGCTTGATTGCACATGTATTATTGGGAGCATTACTGCAATAGATGCGTGGTTTGTTACCCATATGCTGAAGGGTGGGCTTGAAGGATAATCCACCAATATTCTTGAATGTAGACAAAGTCCATTAAACTCTAGAGTCTATCCATTCTACTCCAATACAGAGGGAAATATAGGTAGAAGCCTTTCTTGCGACGTTGTGACACTTACCACTATACACTTTCCATATGGAAAACAAGAGGCTGGACATGAAATCAAATCCAGGTCTATCAGGTGATAAACAATGTGTACGATCATAGGGCCATCAGGATAATCCTCTAAAAAATTAGAAACCTACCCCTCTGTCTCTGTGTCCAGGGCAGCTGCCAATTCAGTGAAGAGCAGTCCAGTCAGAAAGTGCTGTTGACGATAGTCTGCTGAAAGGTCAAACATGCTGGCAATTTTCTGATCCTGGAAACTAGAGCAGGAGCTTGAATTCTGGAAAAGTATATTAGGTGTTTTAATGGATTATCAAAGAAAAAACAACTCATTAAACAAACTACAGTGACAGCTCATCGAAAATGCATCTAATAGGTCACTCTATTGAAAGGATGGACCATGATGTCAGAAGAATGTAAAGCTTTACAATCAAATTGAATAAAATCCCTAGGAAGCAAAATGTTTCCATGAATATTTAGAGCAAGCCTAAACTACTCATAGTGAATGCTGAGTGTGGGTAAGTAGTGCACAACAGTTTATTCAGTGAAATCAGCCTCTCTTCCCGCTTGCTGTTTGCTATCTTATAATGCTCAAATTTGTTTTAAGGAATTATCATATCAGCAAGTGGTTTCTATGAATAGCCCTCATTTTATTAATTGTGCACAAGCAACTTGCTGCAAGTATTTGATGTGCAAAGTCCAAACTATATTTGCTAGCATGGATGGGGGACAAAGCCAGAATTTCCCCTGGGTTCAGGTGTTTTTTTATTGCACTCTGCCAGCTTAAAGTAGTTATAAACTGGCTTAAGGGAATAGACACATGAACAAGTCACCGAAAGGTAACTTAGTATGTGAAATTGCAGCCTATTAGCTACTCCACAATATGTGCAAGAGGAAGCTCCAACAGCAAAGGCACTGCATAGGGACTTCTTTGCCACCTCCTCCTGACACCTGGTGTAAAGGTGTGGCCAAGCAGGATGGAAATTTAAACAGTGTTTCCCTGAAGCTTGACAATCTTTGGCTCGGGTTGTTGGCAGCTGGTATAATTTAGAGCAGCCTTCAAACTCCTGTAACTTATAGCTGTGGTCTGATATATGGCCAGCCAAAGAATGGGAAGTTGCTGCTGAGTTTGTATTTTGAACTCCTCAGCTGCAGTCATGATGCTAGGTCGGTAGGTCACTTGGCGGGTTTTGTTCCCTGACCGGACAAGCATAACTTCTAGAGTCTATTTCCAGTCCAAAAAAAAAGTTTACAAAGTTCACAATTTGCTTTTCGGTTATATTCTTTAGCATTCACTTGAATATTTCTTCCAATAAAGTGAGAACAGTGCTGCAAAACAGACTGCAACACTCTGGCTGCCACCTATGTGTAAAATGGGCTGAATCAAGACCCCACAGCTGAAGACTCCCAAACTTTAGGGCAGTGAAAATCTGAATTAAGACCCAGAGACATGAGAGCACCATGACAGTTCAGTTTTGTCTGTTTGGAGTAACAACTGGATGTTCTATGCCTTGGCGTGCAAATTTTCTACATGGGCTCTTCACAATAATTGTACAAGATTTATCCCCAAGGCCACCTTATTGAAAAATCTAAGTCTAGCTGACAGCTCTCCTGTACACAGAGCAGAATTACTAAACTGCTGACTAGTTACCAGATTAAATCATGCAAGAGCAGCGAAAAAGCCCTATTGATTTGCATGGGTTGCATTTTGTAGGTTACTCCTAAGAAGAGTTCATGATGTTTCCTGAGGAAAAGACTGATCCTAATTGGTTTCTGCCCAGGTTTGACCCATAATATCTATTTCAATAGCTGTGCAAAATTGCCATTTTCTTTCTTTCTTCCTTTAAAAAAAAGAAAAAAGAAGAATCCCATTTCCAGATCTTGTGTGTCAAGAGGTAGCCTTAAGAAGAAATCTTGATCCTCAAAACCTCAAGCTTTATATGAATGACGAGAAAGGAGCACAAAACATGCATCCTTTTTTTTTTTTTTTAAATGAGTAGTGACCTATTTGTATACTTAAGATATGGGTTTGGGAAGTTTTAAGTGCTACCTTTACAGATGCTGGATATCATCAATTTTTTGGTAATACCCCTTAGAAAGAATACATGAACTTGAACTTTCAAAATGAACCTCCCAGCTTCTCAGTGCTCCTGTGTATCTTTAGTCACCTCCTACCTTTCTTCCCAGGGTCATGGGAAGAAGCCATAGGCTATAACTTTAATTATTTTTTCTTTTGATTCATACCACTCATTTTTGGGACTAAACAAACATATTTCTATTTGAAGAATCTTCAGAGATAATGGGTGCTTTTCTTTTATAGCTAAGAGACATAGCCTCTCTAAACAGTTAGGTTCTTCCTGGGGCAGGAGGCTCCAACGCTAACCTAGGGAAATGGCAATGGGAAACATTTCCCTTTTAAGCTGAGCAGGCACTACACAGCCCAGTAAAGTCGTTAGGGAATCACCTATTTGGGATTATGGGGCTCTTTTGTGCCAGAAGCTCCTTGTACACCCCTGCTTAATGACCTGCAGCAAGCTGCAAGCTAGGTACTACCCGAAGAATTTAGGGTAAGAGAGGACAAAGTCCAGGAAGAAAACGAGTTTGGGGTGCCAGCTGTGGACCTCTCAGAATATGGTTAGGAGTTCAGGGAAAGAAGGATAGCAGGCAAGGATACATAGTTGTAGGGAGAACATCCAGGGCTATGCAAATATTAATCTAGATCTGCAAATTGTGTGTGTTCCTAGGATGTTACTCATGGGAAGAACAAGACAATGGCCTGAGGCAGATTTATGACTATTTTGCAGAGTTCTACCTACAACATAAATGACCCTATACAAAAAACCAGGAAGTGCAAATAGAAAGAGGCATAACAAAATCAAAGCTTCACTGTGAAACTCTAGAAAAGCAAAGTCAGTCACTACGGGAAATGAAAAGCAAGCTAATACTTTGCTTTCAACAGCATTTTCTCTCTATCAGCAGAAATCCATGTTTCAGTCAATACCTGAGCACACAGGCACCATCTACAAGACGTGAGAGGAGGCCCGCAAATTGAAAGCCGGGTGCCAGACAATCAGCTGATTTTTGGCTGGCTCTAAGTCTGCTTCAGGGCTCGAACTGGCCCCAGCGCGGTCCCTGGAGCCAGCTGACAATTAGCTGCTCATCTGCTGTAGCAGGGCTGGTTCAGGAGTTGTATGGTAGGGGGCAGTTTGAGCCCTCAGGCAACAGTCAGCTGATCATCTGTTGTAGCAGGACTGGTTCAAGTCCTGGTGAGGTCCTAACCCTGTCGCACATTCAGTTTAAGGCATGATGGAAGCCAGCCACAAAAAAATATTATATATTTTTGTGACTGGTTTCTCTTTTTGTGGAGCCATTAAATTCCTCAAATGTGTGGCCAAGTTACTATTTAAGACAGGATTAACCTACTAACCTTGTTTTAAGCATAATGTCTACCAGGGGCCAGAGTTTGTGTCCTTCATCTAAGGACTCACATTTTGCTGCATATTTCCATAAATTATAATGCACTGTAAACAGATGTTGCCACTGGTATGAAAAAAAAAAAGCCCTTTATCCTCACAAACATACTTTTGCTATACATAGTGAAACCATGGGTTCTCCAACCCCCCATTATGGTATTTTTCACCACACCTACTGAAAAAATCACAACAAAACGTACATCTTTGCCCTTTCTGCAAGGCAGTTAATCATTCTTGATAGTCCCAGAACGGTGGATTAATTTAGACCTAAAAAGCTGTACAATACAAACTGAACACATTCTCCTCCTCCCTATGTGCACTTCACATGAGGGAGATGGATGTGTGGCACTGTACTGAGTGATGCCTACCTGTGATGATAATGAGGGTGAGGGAGATGTTGGAGTAGATACTGAAGTCATGAAGAAGAGATTCAGATTGAGGTAATGTTCATGGCTGCAGAGAACTCGCAGAAACTCCAACCTCATGGAAATTAGGGTGGAGAGTGTATTCAACTTGTTTGACAGCTAGAAAAACAAGAATAATGTGTGACAGAGGTATGCAATTTACAATTATAGATAGAAAAATATCCTGTCTCCTGAAACAGAATCAGTCAATATAATAAAAATAATTGAGAAGCAAAACAGATGCAGAAATGTTCTGAATTCTTCCATCCATTAGCTTCTCTTTCCTTAATGGTGATGCTGGTTGTCACTTGGCCAAACTCCCAAGAAAGGATCAATAGTTATTTCCTCCCAGAAAAAAAAAATACAGTGACTCTCACTTTTGCATGGAAAGTGATTTGCATATGATAAGTTTGCCTTTTCTGTAATATTAAAATTGACTTTAAAAATAACAACCCCTGTTGTGTCTATGGCAAACTAAATGCAGGAACGTGCCTCACCTTTGTGCAACACAACATCAACAGTGCTGTTATCACCATTCACAATGGCAAAACCACAGCAGAAACTATGGAGAAACACTTGTTGACTTCAGTGGGCATAGTATACACATGTCTGATGACCTCCTTTTGGTCAGATGTGAAGGCTGTTATATGGATCACAAGATCAAAATGCTTAGAAGAAAAACCATAGAAACATCTAAAAGTTTTAGTAATGGAAACTTCATACATGATTATAGTGGGTTCTTCAAGGTGGATTTTCAAGCAGAGACTTTTATAAATAACTCAGATGGTTAATACTTGAGCTAAATCTTTTCAACTAGGACTAGGGTCCAAATACTCGCTGTCATTTCCACTCTGTGCAGTGAATCCCGTAGTGGGAGAAACAGCCCCCAAACGCTGCAGAGGTTAAAAGCAGCTCCTATTTTAGGTAGGTGCCCTATGGCTGATTCAGTGCCTTTTACCAGGCTCCCAGAAGCAGGGAATCTATCCTACCCTTTCTACAGCACTACTAATCTCAGCCTCTTGTTCAGAAAAGGAGTCACAAACAGGGCAAAACATAATGCCAAATTTAATGCAAGGACTGTTCCAAACAGTGCCTACCTGATTACAGTAATGTTTGATGAGGTTAAACACGAACCCACGGTCCATTAGGGAAAGAAGATCATACAAGAAAAACGCAAGACTAATGTTGATCTTTTCTGCTTGCTCGGTTTCCTTTAAAGAAATAAATGCAGTTACAATACATAAGAAAATACAGTGGCAGAAGCTGTATTACTACCATTCTTTAAAAACAGACTGGGTACAGTACTATCCAGGGAAACACCAGGAAAAAGACTAGGCAAGTCTCTTTTCACTTCTAATGTATATGGGATTTATAAAAATATATAGTATTGTTCCTATATAATAATTTCAAATGTTTATGGAGATGACTATCCCAGCAAGATAGAATAAAAATTATTACCTATGTGGGAAATGTAGCACAAGCCTCTTAAAATATATTTTAGTATTGTCTTTCACAAGCTTTGTCTAACCAAAGTTATCCTAAGTTTAAACAACATTAAAACACCAAAAAAAAAATACAGAAAAATTGATTAGCTAGTATTCAGGTCCAAACAATAGCTCATTCATGACTGCAAAAGGAGTTGCAGGATACAAGATTAAACAGAAGCTCTCTGATTCACTTTTCCATATTTATACTTTTTTGTTCACATGTAGCAGTCCATTTCCTGTGACCTTTAATTGATGCTATAAAATATTTTCCTATAATCCTTATGAGGCAGCTTGCCAGCTACAGAAAAGCAAATCAGGGATATTACTGCAGAATGCGAAATGAGTTATTTAAAAGAATACCATATTTCCTCACATATAACACGCACCTTGTTTTTGCAAGGCATTATAAAGATTTCTCCCCCTCTACCCTACAGTTATGACTGCAGAGAGCAAGAGCAGAGGCTAATCTTCAGCTGACTCACCTTCCCTTTCCTACTTAACTAAAGCCCTAGCTGCTCCTGAAGACTGGTCTCCACCAGTAGATCTCTGATCTGGAAAAGAGCTAAAGAGCTGCAAAATAGAAGGGGAGACCAAGAGACCTAGTAAGCAGCAAAATTCCCCTAGAAAAGGTTAGATTATTTAGTGGAACCTCAAGACTGTTACAAATGTTATTTGAATACCTGTAAAGTGAAGAACCCTGAGCCATTAACTCAATGGTCCATTAATAGCCCATTGACTCCCTTAGCTATCTGAAGAGTAATACCAGAGCTGCTGCACTATGGACTAGGAACTGAAGCAGGGTGCAAAAAATCAGCTTCCCTGATTAATAAATATACTCTAATTTTGGGGGGCTGATTTTAGGGAAAAAGGTATATCCAAAATTTGGTAAATGAAACAAGCAGGTTGCTATTGCATGTAGTAAAAATCTGTAAAAATCACTTAAATGTCATCCATTGTTGCTAAGCAAGACTAATACATGGTCCCAATTCTGTAAACATTCCAGGTAATTTTAGAAGAATTTTCATACATGGCAATCTTTCACTGTTAACTCCCACCATTCCCTGGTCCTTGCCCTATTGAAAAAGAATCTAGTTGACAGTATTTTCTCTACAGACTATTTATGTCTTTTCTGTGAAGAAACCATTAAAATATTGGAAAGAAAATGTGTCCAGCTTCTTCAGAGCAAAAATTTTATGTTTTTAGAACATTTTTTACATAATATGAATCAATTCCTCTCCTCCCTCCAAACCAAATGCTTTGAAAGATTTCAGTGACCCAGATATTTATTTAAACATTGCTCTGCTTCAAACATTTAACTCACACATAAGGACCAGAAAGTGAAACAAAGGCCACAGGCATTATATCTATAGTATTATATGCACCCTTGTAGCACTACAGGGGGTGTACATACATGCACTCCACCTATAGCACTACAAAAATGGCTGCAGCACTACAAAAATATTTCCGTTTGAATCAGGAACTTCTCTGTAGCTCTACCTTTTGTAGTGCTGCATTTAACTTCTGTACCATTACATGCAGTGCTACAGAGGATCCCTGGGCTACAGACAGACATTACACATAAACCAGTTTAAGTGGTTTAAACCTGTTACTGAACAGATGTTCAGTGCACATAAGCCAGTTTGAAAATGGCTGAAACCGGTTTAAGATAAGCCTGGTTGAATGTAGTATCAGACTTCCTGTAGTATCAGATTTGGCTCAAACTGATTTATGCAGTGTCTGTCCCATACCCCTTGCTGGTTTAAGATAAATCAGACTCCCCAGCATCCTTGCATGCTCTTTGGGCTGGGTGGGGCTCTCTGCTCCACAGAAGGGCTGGCCCCTCCCTTCTGCTCCCTGGCTGCAGCTCTAGCAGGGACAGCAGGCTGCTCACCTCCCTCCCCCTCACCACTCTCTGCTAATCAGTAATTCCCCCCTCCCCTCTGCCTTGTGGAGAGGTGTCTGTATATTAGCTAGCAGACCACATGCTGGCTACGGTCCATGTTGAATCAACAGGTAGCATTAACAGGTAGTTGGTAATGTCCCTCAGTTGTTTTCTTAATGGGGTGATAAATACAGAGTAAGAGGTGACAAATACAGTTATCAATTCCCTGCTGGGCTAATCAGAGCATCCTGCCATAGTCTGGCCACGTCCCCCTTCATCTCAATGCTGTGCAAGGGAAGGGAGGGCTGCTCTAGCGCCCCCACCAGCTTCAAGCCTGACCCACTGCAGGCATGTGCCCACGTTTCTGGGGTGTCTGTCTGGTTACAAAACTGATTTAGGCTAGCCACATTAGACTAACCTGCAAAGATTGAATCAATTCAGGTTCAGGCTTTTTGAATGTCTGTCCATAGCCCTGCAGCATCCCACAGTGCTTTGCTCTCCTCCCACCCCTCTAAAGAGGAAGGGAGGGAGAGATAGCAGCAGGCAACTGCGGGGATGCAGAGCTGCAGCTGAGCCAGGAACAGGGACTTCAGCTCTGCTCACTTCAGCAATCTGTCAGACAGCATGATCCCTAGGCAGCAGTGGAGCAGTGGGCTCTCCTTGTTGCCCTTCTGTCACACAGCCTGCTGCTGTCTCAGCCTTATAAAAGTAGGAATTCTGCTTGCCTTGGGGCATGGACACTTGCTGCCACAGTGCCAGAAGTGACAGGTACCAGTGCTTGCTGATCACTGACAGCCTGCCCAGTGAATGGGCTCTCTGTCAAGGGAGTGGGCAGGCTGTCAGTGATTGTGCTCACTGATGAGCTTCTCAGGGGGCATAGGGAAGGAGGAACAAGAAGAGATGAGAAGCAATCCTTTATCATCCCTTCTCTGGAGAACATACCTTTGCAGTGACTTCGTAACACTCTTGCTGGGGGTGCTACATGTGTGAACATTCTTCATAACAATATATTTTTGTACCTCTCCACGGACTGAGACCTTATAGTGGTAGGGAAGCTTGTGTGTCCCAATGACCCTCAGAGCTATATCACCCAGAGTCTCATACCCCTGGCAGGGTCACTCATGGTGAACAGTTCTGAGGGAAGGTTCCAGACAAATCATGGTCCAACCCCAAATCCTCAGCAGTGGATCAGGTGGAAGAAGATGTGAGGATCTCAATGGTTGCAGCAAGATTGAGGTCTCCTGTAATCTAGGATTCTCCCTTGCCACTGGGTTTAGATCTCTACCTTTTCAAGATTATGTGGTTCCTGTTTCTGCGCAGAAGCTTCCTCATGTTAAACAAAGTCATACAAAGACTTCTACCACAGGAAACAACTCATTCTCCTGTAGTAACCTCCAAAGGCCCTATGGCAATAGACCAGTGGTGATGGAGGCAAGACTAGTGAATCTGGCAGTCTCTAGCCACAAATCTACATGCAAACAGTGGTAGCTGATGATCATCTTGCACCTAGGTTGAGACAGGGTTGCAATTCAGCAGCAGCTACCATGAATGAGCAGTCCTATTCAGGATTTTCTCTGCTCACCCCACATGGGGAAGGGGCTACAAAAGGTGCCCTAAACCTAGACTGTCTTATCTGCTCCTGCCATTATCTCCAGGGAACTAGTAAGATACAGCATTGACAGTGCAGCTCTGAGTGAGAACAGATGACCAGATGAGGGTTAGCTAAGGGAAGATGATGGAGGCTACACTTTCTTTTGGAAGGGGAAACTGGCCCAGAACATTGGCTTTGCCATCAAGAACTAGCTCATGGGCTACAGAGCCCCCTGTGGGCATTAACAAATGTCTTATGAGCCTTCATCCTAAACTCAGTAACAACTAGTATGCTACCATCATCTGCACATATACCCCAATGCTTGATGCTGACAATGATGTCAAAGAACAGTTCCACTCCAACCTTGACCACATTCTAATACTAGCAAGGAGGACAAATTCATTCTCCTCAGTGACTTCAATGCCAGGGTTGGATGTGACCTGGAACTCTGGAGTGGCACCAGTGGGCAGGAAGGAGAAGGAAAAGCCAATTCCTACAGCATCCTCCTCCTGAGCAAAGACACAGAGAACAGTCTTGTCATCACACACTTAAATTTTCAGACAGGAGTAACAACATCAAAAGCTCGTGGAGACACCCTTAATCTAAGCACTGGCACCTTCTTGACTATGGTTAGAAACTATTGTTAAATTGTCAGAAACCATGATCGAATGGATGTCCATATCACATGAGCCATGCCAGGAACCGATGACTGCCAGACAGATCACAGTCTTGTCATATCCATTATGAACATCTGGCTTGCTCCAAAACACCAAAAACAACTAAAAGCAATAGAAAGACTCTCAATACCAAATCAAGACCTGAAGCTCTGTAAGGATCTCCAACAGCGTCTCCATGGAAAGCTCTCTGCCCTGTCCACAAAATAAGGCAACACTGAAGAACTCTGGAAGGGGTTTAAAACAGCCATTCAGATGGTCTTTGCTGAATCCACTGGCTGTACCACTACTCAACACCAAGACTGGTTTGATGAAACTGACACCAAGATCCAAGCCCTCCTCAAACAGTTGAGAAGGGCTCATTCTGCTTGGCAAGATGACGCCTCATCTCAGCAAAAGAAGGAGGCGTGTCAGAACTTCAAAACTGAAGAATCTGGGAAGTCAAAAATCAATGTTGGCCAAATAAAGCTAAAGAGATCCAGCTCTATACTGACAAACATGACATGCACATTTTTTTTCCAGGCAACAAAATACACCTACATATCAATTTCCCAAGGTCCTACTTTCCGGAGATCACAGTATGGTTTGTTTTGAGGTAAAGCATCTTGTCCTCAAACCAGAGAAGAGAGAGCAGAGGAGGGAAAAGGAGAGAAAGCCTTGTCTACAGCCTACTCTTCTCCCTGTGGAAAAAGACCTGCAACTTCTGTGGATGGGCCTCTGGCTCAAGGATTGGACTCTTAAGTCACCTGAAGACCCATCAGTGAGCTGTAGTAGAGATCATTCTTGAATCAAGGGATTGCCGATGATGATAACATTTTGGTAGGACTTCAAAGTGCTACGGCCATTGCAATGCTACAAATGCATGTCTGTCTATGGGCTAAGTGACTTAATGCATTTTCTTGCATACAACGTGCCTTGAAATATGATGCACACCTTGTTTTTGAAAGAGAGAATGAAGAAAAAAAGATCTTTCCTCACAAGTAAGTAACTGAGAAACAGCAGCTAGTGAGCTGAACCTGCTCATTTTTCTTCTCGCTGTGGACTGAGTGCAGACTTAACTTTTCCTTTTGCCTGGTAAGTGACAGCAACTGCTCTTATCTTATTTCCTCTCGTATAATGAACACTCCAATTTCTATCTGCTCTTTTTTCTTTTTTTTTTTTTGGGGGGGGGGGGGGGGGGGCATGTGTTGTATGTGAGAAAAATATACCATTCAAAGGGGAGTATAAATTCATGAAGTAAACAAATACCATAAAACAGGAAAGGCAAAGTTAGGCCTTTACATTTTTAATACTAGAATCTAACACGTTAATGTAACCTACTTAAAATGTATCAAAGGAATAAGGAGTACTGAGGTTGGGGACTTATTTTTGCTCTGAGTCATTAATGGCATCTCTTTGAAGGAGATTATGATTAGAAAATTTGAGGGTGGATTTTGCATCCTCAGAGTGCAAGTTATTCAACTTCCTGATTAATCCCACTGAAACCAGTGGAACCAATCATGGAACTGTTTCTATACAACATGAATGAGGGTATCAGAATCTGCCACATAAGGATGGGTACATGAGAAATAAAATGGAAATACTGGTAAAATTCATGTCTGGTAGAACTCCAATGATGTTAGTAAATCAGGCTCAATGTTTCTATGGATATTTCCCATGAGATACAACAGAAAGGAACCACTGTATTTATTTTGTTTGTACTTACCTTCTGTGGTTTAACTAGAAGTGCTGCAATCTCTGAAGTGACCACATTAACTATAGTGGTGATGTCATCTTTGAAACGATCTGAGAATCTACTTCTTCGTGGAATGTCTTGTTTCTCTATATTGTGAACATACTGAGCCATACTCTTTACCTGCAAAATAGAAAGTACTGCTGCCACACTACTGCTTTAAAGTTGGCACTGCAGCCTAATTCTACATAACCTTCCTCTTGACATAGTCTATTATGACTGCATAATAGCATAATCATAAGCTACCTACCTGTGGCCCAAGGACTGAATGGGAATGGAGACAACTATTATATCCTTAATTCTCTGAGCTGACCCCTCTAGATAGGTGTTGAAACACATGATAGAGAGGTTTGTAATGCTGCTGTTTTTGCTGCACCTCTTTTGTACAAAGAGTAAGCTTTTACTATTCATTATTTGTTGACTGTCCACATTACTTTGCATCCTACAGAGAGGAAGGTACAAGTCTTTTCATCATCAGACCAGACTGACAATATCACTATTACCCAGATGAAGTTTTAAAATAAAAGGCAGTAATATTTTAAAACAATTTTTATGGTGGCATATCTGTGAAAAGCTTCATAAGAAAGGGAAAATATTTCATGAGAGGTCTGAATGAAGACAGGACAGTTATTCAGTGTACAAGGAGAGGAAGACTGCCTTAGGCATCATGCACAGATCTTAGGTTGAGGGTGCTACATAAATTTAATAAAAAAATGGATTCCAGCTCTCTACATTCATTTTTTATTTCTGAAACTACAACAGATACCAGATCTCTCCTCTACCCAGGTTCTGGATTGTGGATGCTGACTCTCAACCAGTTATGTGCGACAAAGCTATATGGGACAATATCACTGCTGCTGTATTACCACCAAAGTGTTGCTATTTCAACAGAAAACTGAAGCTTAGAAAGGAAATTCCGCACCAAAGTCTTACCAGAATCCAGCACCTAAAGGGTTAAATGGGGGGGGGGGGGCGAGGGGAAGAAAAACATGGCTCTTATTCCCATTCCTATTTGTTTTCTACCCTACATTCCTGCCGTATCCCAGACTCCCAATGAAGTCATCTCTTCAGTAACACAACAAAGAAGAATGGTGATCAGACAGTGAGGAGTTCTGGATGTACAGAGAATGTGGGATGGGAGGTCTGGTGAAAACAATGGGCTGCTGGGTGTAGTAGTTCTCACCCTGCCCTGATGTCAGGCATGGGGTGTCACTTTTTTGAATCAGTTCCTACTTCTAGGCTGGCTGGTGGAAGCTTTATAGGCTGTCAGTGTAAACCAATATGTCAGAATATTTTTCAGCAACATCAATCACCTCAGTCCTCTGAGTAAAAACACCTGTGTGTGGAGCCCTGTCACTGTAGCCCATGCTATAGACAGAGTGGAGAAAATGACAGCTGGAATGAAGGAAAGGTTCCAGCTTGCCTTCTGTCTCTCCTCACTTTGTCAGGATTTTTGGAAAGTTGTTTCTTCTGCTGGACAGCAGGGGCTGACAGAGTTGGCTCTGACCCAAAACTCACTATACAACCCCTTCTCCACCACCCTCCATACAACACCTTCTCCATCACCCCTTCCACACCACTTTGAGGAAGGTCATACCTAAAAGAGAACCCACATTTTGTGCTTCAAGTTTATTCCTCTATAGGGGAGGCTGGCTGGACAGACCCTTCACCTCCCCTCTCCCACACGTGGAATGGGTGTGCTCAAGTATTGTGAATTGTGATGCCCTGGGGGGAACAATGACAAATGTGCATCTACAGCTTAGGCATAAACTCAATTTACTTTCCTTATTGTTATATACTGCTCTTAAATCTTACCAGGAGCTCAAAGAAGAACCAGGCATACTTGAAGACAGACTCCCTCACCATGCCAGTGCTGACCACCATCTGCAGTGCTAACTCTTCATGAAAATGCTAGATAACAGAACAGAGTATGTTGAGATTTGACTTCAAATTCAACTCACTTCTCAATGCTGAACCCCCAGTAAAACTCAGGAGGGGTGAAATTCAGTCACTATTGCCAGGGTCATGTAGAAGGCTCCCCATGCTGTGGTGTCCTTTTTTTGGAGAGGAACAACTGAGCAGAGAGGGACATCTCTGTATCCTGCCCATGGTGGTAAGGTGGATTTCAGCATAGTGGTATTAAAGGAGTACTGTGGGCAAGTGAGGTGAAGAACCACTGTATCTACTTTTATGGAGAGTTAGGACCAAGAAAGCACCAAATCAAGGTCCAGATGGGAGGCAGCCATTACCCAAACCCAGAGTGCATGAGCTTTGTGAATGGGATGTGAGGGGTGGTTTCACCTGGTTGTGAGCACTTCTGTATAAAACTTATATAATTTTTGAGGGTGCTGTTCAGGGTGGACTGTGACTACTAAAGAACGAGAAAGAAAGAAATGCTCAAAACAGGACTTTTGCACTGGAACATATTTGAGGAGAATAACATAAATTTGTGGATGTGTCTGATCCCAAACATCAGGTTCAGCTACCCCCAACTTTTAGAAAGCTCAAATTCATAGTCTCTAAAAGGTCCATTCCCTTCTCTCTCTCTTTTTTTTGAAGTAAACAAACAGAGATCTTTAACATTTCCACAGTTAATGAGAACATCCACAGTTTCATTATATAGGATAAAGGAACCTCTTGTGAGACAGAAACAGATATAAAGCTTTATATTTAAGGGCATAAATCAAAATGTAGCAAAGGGCAGCAAGGAACTTGCCCTTCAGGCAACTTATTGCTTAACTGCCTGCTGACGGGTTTATTACACCTTCTTCTGAATCGGCTAGTGCTGGCCACTGCCAGAGATAGGATGCTGGATGAAGTGTGCTCATGTGATCCGGTGTCAGTTCCTAGGATCCTAATAAGCTAGCTTGGCAACTTGTATTAGGTTAGAGAGAAAGTGTACCATGGTTGTATAGCCTGCCAGCAGGGAAAAAAACTAAGCAGACTGCCAACTCCTCATAGAAAGAAGGGAGGATGGAGATAGCAAATAGATTCTTAAAAGAGTTTATTGCAACATTTAAAAACCAATGTAGATTATCTTTGTACAAAGTGACACAGAACCCAATAACTTAACACAGTACTAAAAAAAAGAATCAAAGAGAAACACAGATTGGCAGCCTGCAGGTAGGCATTTAAAATATGGCTACAGTTCGGTGAATGTAAAGCTCAGCTTGCCTTTTCAGTTCTATTCCCCAACGTTGGGAAAAACTGATCCACTCTGATCATTATAAGCTGTAATAGAAAGCCTCCAATATCCTGGTCCATAAAACATATTGGTATTTGCCAGAACTATTTGGGAAAGAAAAATGTTAACAGCCTAGGATCAAGAGGTGGGGTAAATGATACAAAAGATCATTTATCTATCAATCTATCACTGTTTTCCGACAGTTTCATTTGACAAAACCACTAATTAATTATTTGTACCTCCTTTTTGCACCTCACCACAAAGTTACTGGCACTGTGCCTTTTAATAGCTGTCTGCTAACGTCTCTCCCAGTTTCATTAATGATCACCCTGACCGTGTGGCAGTCTACCTTTTTACTGGATGGTCTTGGGCTTGTGCAGGTATTTGGTATATCAGTAGTCGGTTCAATATAGTAGGACATCCGACTGCTGTTGCGATCCACAACCTGGAGCAAATCAGCCAGACCAAAAAGGAAAAATTAACATAGAAGAATCAGTTGCTAGTTGTAAATAAATAAATAAACCCCCCCCCCCCCCCCACATAGAGAAACCTCCTGTTCCATACCCTCTCCCCCCACCACATACACATATGTGTGTGCGCACAGCATGCTCCCTGCCACAATAGATGAAAAACTTGAGTCAGAAACTGGGAGCTAAAGGATGAAGAACATTTATGATAACAGTGCCACCATGTGGATTATCCTAACATTGCATTTACAACTTTAAAGCTCTCCCAATTTCTCTCTTCAACAAGAGTTGACCTTTAAAGTAAATTTCAGATTTAGAACCACCAATTAAAAAGGGACCTGGGAGTGTTTTCCACTAAAATAATGTCAGTTTAAAAGAAGGTGAAATGGAAGCAGTCATCAAAGCATTATAAATGGCTGAATTATCAATATAATATAGTTATACTCTGCATCTTAATTTTGTATTAATTTGGGTAGATATAAAATTACCCTGTATTGTGCCATGTTTTAGGAACCAGTACACAGGAGTAAAGTTATCAAATATTAAGGCTGCAAGCTTAAAAATGGATATGCATGAACAGATATATCCACACAAAGAAATCTGGCAAACATCTGTAATTTCTCCTAGCTGTTCTGCTTTATTTCCCTCCAGACACATGACTCCTCATTATTAGAGATGTTTTTTTCCAGCAGTGTTTTAGAATGAAGCCTAAAAACAACCTGACATCTAAGCACTCTTGATGTTATAAAATGGTATGAAATCTATGGAATGCTGAACAAGGAAGAAGCAGATGATTTTGTCTTATGCTCATTTTGTGTTGTTGGAAATTCATGCTTGGTAAAAAAAGAATCCATTACCAAAATTTTGGGTGGTGTCTTTTATTGGACCAACTATGTAGTTATGATAGAGTTAGACAAGCTTTTGAATGCAAGACATTCTTCTCCATGCCTTGCATTTGAAAACTTGTCTAACTCTATCCCAACTACACAGATGACACAATAAAAGATATCACCTTAAGAAATCCTTGCCAGCCTCTTGCATAATTTCTGGACCATCATGTTATAACATCATTCTTATGCTACTATAAAAAAAAGGCAAAGGAGAAACAAAATATATTCCTG